ATCTTTATATATAAGATTAATAATTATCTCTTAAATTAATAAATATTTATAAAGAACTATTACTTATTTTAGATTATTATAAATCTTGTTATAAAGATCTATAATTTAGTCTTTTTCTTAGACTTCTGCCTTATAAAAAAGCTATTAGAAATCTCTTAAAAAGGCTATAAGATTCTACTGCCTTTATTATAAGTAATAGTACTCTTTATAAGTAGTTTCTTATTAAAATAAAGAATTAAAACAGGTTAATAAGTTTATAAATATATTTAAAATCTAGACCTTTTTAAAGTTTTTAAAGTATAACTTATATAGTTTTTGAGTATTATTATTTATATATAATTATATATAAGTAACCTTAGAAAACTTTATTAGAAAGAGTACTATATTAATTATAAATTTTATCTTTATAACTAATAACTAAAAGCAAAACTTTTAAAAAAGCTTATCCTTAAAAATCTTTAAATAAAGCAGCTTTTCTGTTTTTATATTTATAATTATAAAAAGATTAAGAGTTGCCTCTAATAAGGCATGCCTCTTAGGCGATGGCTCTTGTTAAGCTAGAGTCTCTGCTAAAGATTCTACTTAAATCTGTAATTACAAAGCTACTATAAGTCTGTTATAAAGGTTTTAAATAATCTCTTCCTTATTATAAAGTTAATCCCTTAAAGCCTTAAGCTTAATGCTAGTGCTTTTATTAAGCTCTTAATATCTATCTTCCTAAGTCTTCTTTTCTTAGAGGGTTTCTTAATACTCTGCCTCCTTCTTAAGACAGAGAGCCTTCTCTTCTTTATAAATAGCTACTAATATTAGTATAAATGCTATTATAAATATCTAATTTATGTTAACTAATATTATAAAGGCTAGAAGAGCTAATAAATCGTCTATTACTCTCTTTATATGCTCTATTAATAAATATAATACCTCTTACTTTATAAGTAACACTTTATTTAAGCTTTGTCTTTAGTTGCTTAAGGAAGGGTAACAAACTTTGCTACTCTCTCTTCTCTTTATTTAATCCTGAACTATCTTACTAATAGTCCTTAAACCTCTATATAATACAAGGTATTTATATCAATTAGACTTTGCATTACTCCTAGAGCAACGGCTTTGTATAGACTAATAATCCTAGATGGATTTTCTAATAACTATACTAGAGTTAAGAAAGTTTTTTATTATCTCAAAGAATAGTAAATAAGTGTCAAGCTTTTATTTACTATAATGGCTCAAAACTAGAACAAGTTAATAGTCTATAAATTACTAAAATAAAAGCTAAAGAATCTATCTACACTATAGCTATACACAAATATATATACTCTAACGCTAGCGAGTAAGGCCTATGTATGTGTGGGCCACGCTATAGACTACAGAGCATCCATAGTTCCCAATCCGGCCTCCTACTGTATAGTGAAGTTTAGGCTTCCCTAATCAGGTAAGGCGAACCTCTCTATTCGTAATCCGTCCGGATAGCTTACACGCTTTGACAAGCGCTCTACAGCAGGAGTTTGCTTGCTGCTGTAAGTTAGTTATAGGCGTTGCCTCCTGAGTATGTGGCTAGCACACATTTCCTGTGTTGTAGCAGAGGAAATACATTATCTATTATAGGCTTAATAAAAAAACATATTTATATAAAGATAATTTTAAGTAAAGTATTTATAAGAAGAGACTAATAAGTAATACTTAAGAGTATTTATAAATAAGCAGCTATAAACACAAATTCCCTAATCTATATAAGTATATTTATTTCCTAAATAATTTTATAATCTTTATAGTTAACTTATATTATTAATTTATACTTAAATTTAAGATATACTTATATCTATTACTATACTCTTTGTTCTACTTAACTAATTTTTTAGACCTAGCTTCTAGTTAAGACTTATCTTAGTTAGTTAAGCCCTAACACAAAATTAAGGGATACTCTTATTAATAAAATGTTATGCAATTATTAGTAATTCTTTAAGCAAGATTAAGGCTAATACATTATTTTCTTGTATCTTTAACGTTTTTTTGATCTAATAACCTAATAACCTAATTTTTAAAGCTATAAGATAATCTATTAAAGTTTTAGAGTTGTCTAAGTAATAATTATTAAATAAATAAAAAAAGAAGAGAATATATTAATAGAAATTAAGTAAACAGCTTAGCGCTAAGACTTATAATAATAGAGCAGCCAAGCATGAGATATCCCTTGTGATCCCGATTAACCCCTGTCAGTGGCCTCCTTCCTTGCTGAGTTTAGCGTTAAGAGGTACCCGCGTTTAGCGGTGAGGTTATTTCTGCAGCCTTAGCATTAGGAACATCAAAATTCGTTGAGATTTGGCTATAGGCTTAGCGTCAAGAACACCAAAAATAACTTATAAGAGGAAAACTTAAATTAGCTGCATTAGGCTGATTATTAGGGCTAGAGATTTATAAATGATATCATTCGATAGCCCATGAGATTCTGTATCTAAGTATATAGTTATCTAGTAAATAGAGCTATTATTAATAGTAGAACATTAAAAATAATAAAATACTATTAGTTTTTAAAAATAATTCTAGGATTAACTTTAATATTATAAAAGATATAATCTTATAGATAAGAGATTATATTAGCTAGCTCTTAGAGTCTTAGAAAAAGCTTATTTAAGATTAATAACTTAAATATTTAATAAGTTATAAAAGAAATAATTCTCTAAAACTAGTTTCTTTTTATAATTTTTTTTGTTTTAAGCTAAATACTATTACTATAAAGATATATTTTATATATTTAAATAGAGATTTTTTAGGGCTATTCAATAATATTATTTATAAATCTCTAACTTTAATAATTAGTCTAATGCAGCTAATTCAAGTTTTAATGTTCTTAACATTAGGACTACAATAGAACTTCTATAATTTTGATGTTCCTAATGCCAAGACTGCAGAAATAATCTCACCGCTAAACGCGGGTACCTCTTAACGCTAAACTGAGCAAGGAAGGAGGCCACTGACAGGGGTTAATCGGGATCACAAGGGATAATACTTATATAAAAGAGAAATATAGAAAATCTAAAGACTGTAAAGAGGAGCTGGACTATACTATACCAGTCTTAATAGGACATAACTATTGATTAAAGATGAGCTTTGTAAACTGTATTACACATATATAAAAAAATGATTGTCGAAGCTTTAATAACATAGATAGTTCTTAAAGAGACTAGCCTGACTGCAAAGCAATAAAGCGTAAGCGCCTCTCAGATCAGGCAAAATCTCGGCATGGCAAAATTCTTTCTAATGACAATACTTTGTTCTCATTATGACACCGGTGTTTTTGTGGAGCCTTAACTAGAGAGTTCATTGGATAGGTACAGTGCGTGGAGCTAAACTTAAAACTGTAAGTGCTGTTTATTGTTGACACATCTCAATATCTCTAAGAAATTCCATGCACATTGAACAGGACTTCGATTTCGCACATCACTGTAGCCAATGCGTTCCGTTTCTTTTGCAGCGGAAGACAATGTTCACCACCTCAAACGGTCAACGATTGCCGACTAATCTAACTCGGTTCAATACTGATCCGACTGCTGATCCAACTGTAGATCTGATTGTTGATTCGACTATTAGTCTAACTCTATGTGAAGACTAGCTTGATCCTAGATTCTATTTACCAACAAATTCCAAAATCGATCCTATCAAGGCCTTTTTCATGGACAACTTCGAAGAAACGACGGAAACAGTGGGCGTTGAATCACTAGAAGAAACGTCCTGAGACGTTACATATCTGATCTGTCCGAAAGAGAGAAACCCGGTACATAAGCTTTCCTAAACAAGCTAGCCTTGATACCGGAGCTGCAAGGTCTGTTCTCTAGGGAAATCGATTCTCTAAGGGTGTACACTACTGAGCGGCACAAGGGTATCAACATTTCCCAGGGGAAATCATTCTCTAAGGAGTCTACGCTACTGAGCGGTATCAATGCAGAGAAGTCAAGAGGATCTCGAAGGAAGTGGCTGAGCACCAGGCAGCAGACTTGGCTGAAACGCTGATAGAATAAAGTGAACAGTTGCAGCCGAGTACGAGAGCCCAAAAGCAGGCCCTAGTTGGACCAGAACCGGGTCTTGCCAGCTCCTCAGTCACCTGCTCAGCCCCTGCTCAGGGCTGCTCAGGACCGCTCAGTCTCGGCTCAGTCTCGGCTCAGGTTAAAGCAGCGCCGCTCAGGATAGAGGCCGTAACTGGGATTGGGGAAAAAAAATCTTATGTCCGACTATACAGGTAATTACATATAAGCTATCTTCCTTCTGAGTAGAATTCAACAAGCAAGTTCTCAATCTTTCACTTTCAAAACATCAGGCTTACATATTCCACCAACAGCAAGACTATAGCCAGGTGATTCTGCCTAACATCCAAAAACGCTGACAACCACATTAGGTAAAAGCCAAAGACGATTACAAAAAAGTTTCTGATGAAATGAGTAGCTTCAGTCTACAATCTTCGCTTTAATTCTCACTTCGATCCTTCTCATTGACAGCAAGGTGGGTATCAGGTGAGAGTTATTTGATAGTCAAGACCTCTATCCAGCTATTTACATCTAACATGCATAGCCATTCTCAATGGATCATGCAGAACAGGATAAAGAGAGCATCAGCCCGCGAGTCTGCATTCTCAACCCGAATAGCAACATGGAGATGGGGATTGAACCAGCCGATTCGGACAGCGAAATCTACTCAGCTGACTCTCAGCCTCTGGAAGAGGAGAGCGATGCTCTTGGCCGAAATGAGCAAATGGAGGACCTCTCAGCACATGCAATAACATCGTCAAATTTCACGGACAACCTCGCCCTCAGTCTCCTTGATCGAGCCAGTTTTATGGACCATATCACCGGCTCCCGAACCTCTGTTGGCGCACTCACATACGGGTGCATCGATTACGCAACCGACATACAAAGATCAAGTAAGTTCTTTCTCCTCCACGATGCACTGGAGCGAAGGCTAACCCCAACGCCGTCCGTCGCTATGTGCCCGCACTCTCCAAGCTCCGAAAAGACATTCCGGTCTGGATTCGCGCGAACCCTTACAAATTTATTGGCATCTTAGGTGGCACCACGCTCTCTGCGCTCGCTTTCGCGATTCCAGCAATACTTGGGGCAGTGGGATTCAGTGCACTTGGTCCTGTTGCCGGAAGTATCGCCGCCGGATGGCAGGCGACGATGGGTTGAGTGGCAGCCGGATCTTTGTTTTCTTTCCTGCAGAGCGCAGCGATGGGCGGTGTGGCAATGGGTCTTCTGGGGGGAATTGGTGTTTTGGGCGGTGCGATTACGGTTGGAGTGGGGTTCGCGTCGTTGAAGGGACTCATAGGCAGGCTGGTGGAGAAGTCCAGGGGACCTACGGCCACTTGGGAACAGAACTTCAAGGGAGCGGTAGGCGGGTTGGTGGAGAACTTCAAGGGCCTTTTTGGGAAGACGAAGCATGACTGATTGACTGATCCAAAACTTAGTCAATGCTAGCGGTCAATCTTAGATCGGCATCATAGGATTGATACAAAACAGTGCGTTAGAAGTCGTCTCGAACCTTCATTGTCATTGTGTCAACTGACAGACACGCCTTGCTTCTGAAAAGACACATGTCAACTGTTTTTAATCCATGCCAACGAGATACATAGCTCGGCTTCTGGTTTTAAACTACAGAGTACCTTTTCTGTCTTCATGATAGCTACACAAGTTCTGTCTCTGTTTCATCTTTTCTTCGTTGCTTGAGAGAAGCACTAGAGGCTTCACTAATGCCCACAACCTCACTCGCCGACATAGCCGCCACAGCCGCCACAATTTGCATTATATCGTATGTTTCCTTGGGAGGAGTGTCTGTCATCTTCCCATAAGTATCGCTGTTGGCATCATCGGTTCCCATACCCTCACTTATCTGTACAGGATTGCCAAACACCACGGGGACGTCTAATCCATCAGGATCGGTGTAAACAAGCATCGGTGGTGGCAGCACCACCTGGTTGCTTGGGGACGAAACAGTAGTCAGCCTGTTGATGAACGGCTTGAGAACATGGTCGTTCTTGTGGCCAGCATAAGCCTTTCTGAGACTTCTCGCGACAAGTTCGACCTCAACAAAGTCCCAGTTTTCAACCAACACTAACTCGTTCTGGGCAACTCGGGAGCTTATAACATCCTCAATATCCTCATCAGACGAGAATGCCGATATGGATCAGGAAGCAAGCCTCATACCGCCTTTCCCCGTCGGAGATGGTTCCAAAGCCAACGAAAGATGTACGTTCAGCTATCGAAGACAAGAGAAACTGGCTACTCGGTTAGATGTCGAGTGGAAATGCTGCTCACACTGAAGCCCTTCCCACATAACTTCAAATGAGCAGCCCCTTTCCCAAATGGGGCAATTGTCTCCACACATGCACAATGAGTGATTGTGGCTGGAGAGGAATAATCACACCGCAGTGGATACAACGGACCAGCTGATATGCACCAGGACTGAGGTGAGGGATGTCTTGTGATTAGAATGGCTCGAAGTATTGTGACTATAAGCCACATGACAGAATTCGACCTTTACATTGGAAATGATTTGACCACAAACATGTGAACGAGGTGGGACTGAGCATCGGCACTTGAAAACAAATGCAGATGATATCAGCGACCAGACTGGTTGGTTATCTGCGCTATTGCAACGGTCTGCTGGGAAGAAGAAGCCTTGGTAGATAGTATAGCGTAAGGAGTATAAACACACACAACACAAACATAGCGTCAGCCCACCGAGACATGAAAAGGTAAGTGTGAATACAATAAGGGAAATGCAAACTGTGGAAGCGATCAAGCCGGTTGTTTGGGTTCTGTGCTCCTTCTGAAAATGTCTATCCCGGTTAAATCAAATATTGTACTCGAATACAGTGTCCGTGAATCCACGGACGACGGATGACACCAGACAGTACACCTCTCCCAAATCAGGGTGTTCATTGCAGGGTATTTAGCCTCCGAAAAAAAGAACCAGATGTTTCCATCAAGGTAGACTTCCATTCCAAAGTTCAATGGGTGGTAATGAAATCGGACTCCAGAGCAGCACCGGCCGACTTGCAGGAACACCGTCTCCCACATCTCTCTTACAGCGATCGCTCAAGTGCAAGGTAGACGCGTCATCAAATCAAGCATCACCATTCTGCCCCATGACCGTCTCCCCATCTTCTGCCGCCTGCTGAGCCTGGGAATTGTCGATGTTGTGGTAATCTAGGATTTCGCTATACATCATGATCTTCCAGGTATCGACGGGGAGATCTGCATCGTTGAAGGACCAATCGAATTTCTCTTCTGCGACTGGTTCATCGGTTGGATCGTGGTAGGGTGAGAGGTATTCGTGTGCTAGACCTTGGCCTGCTGAGACTCGTTTTCGGGGATCGAAGACCAACATTTTCTCTAAGAGGTCGATGGCTAGGTGGGTGTAAGTTCAGTCCTTAATGCTAGAAGACTAAGATCGACTCATACCTAAAGGATCTGCATTCTTGAATTTGTTGGCCAGTGGCTGTCTTTCCCTCTTCGGAAGTGACTGAACAAAACGAAGGGTATTCTCACTGCAAATCGTTTCAATCACATCTGCTGGCGGTGTGCCTAACAGCTCCGTGATGATGGAGAATTGGTTGACGTGATCTTTGCCGGGGAACAGAGGTTTGCCTTCTAGCATCTCGGCAAATATACAGCCAGCGCTCCAAATGTCAACCTCCACATCATACTTCTGCCATGTAAGCATGATTTCTGGCGCTCGGTAGTATCTTGTTGACACGTAGCCGGTCATCTGTGGGTCTTGAATACGAGCCAATCCGAAATCGCAAATCTTGAGATCACAGTTCTCGTTTACTAGGATGTTGGAGGGCTTCAGGTCACGATGTACCACACCAGCAGAATGAACGTATTTTAAACCTCGCTGTAAACAATCAGCCATAATGAAGAGGTGACATATCAGACAATACAACGAACAAGTATTTGGTAAAGAAAATATTGGATGAATTGCTTCTCCAAGGGCCTTGACGTAAGCAGTCTGTGTAAATCGGTGCCGAGTAGTTCGGTGACGAAATAGCTTGATGCATGTCAGCTCAATAAAGTAGCTCGCGCGCTGATCGTACATGTCTTCCAGAGGTGATATAAAGATATCACTAAGACTTATGACCTGAGAGAGACATCAGCTTGCAGCTGTCACGACGTCTTGATTCATGCCCACATTTTCATGTCGGAGATGTTTGAGGAGTTTCAACTCGCGGTACGTTCGCTTCGATAGCACAGGGGTGGAGAAAGGCTTCATGATCTTCTTTACCGCGACAGCCTGCTGGGTGAGCTGGTCTTTGGCCGAACTGCGTCATTTCATAAGTACCTTGTTCGTAGGAACCAAAGGTGACGCGCAATTACCAGACTAGACCGAATGCTCCCATGCCCACGGGTTGCAGATCTGTGTATCTGACCGACAGTCAATTGAGGAATCCTAGCAATGTTCTTACTCTTTCTCCATACCTGCTCGTGATCTCGAAAGTCGTGCCAAAGATCTGAGCTCTCACAAATTCCGCCATTTTGAAGATAATCTCTCAAGTCCTTAGTTGGGGGTGTCAGACACCAGTATGAGTGGTTAGCAGGCCAAGCCTAGCGGGTTGAGATTTACTGGTCGTGAATATGAATTTAGGTCAGCTCGCCGATCGGATACCAAGTGGCCTTGCGTTAGCTCAAACACTTGAAGATGTGGCTTCGAGATTGCGAATGGTGGAGGTAGAAGGACTGTTTTGGGGTGGAAGAGTGGTAGCGGATTGTTGAAGCTGGTGGCGTAAAGGAACTGAAGTTTGTTTGCGGGGCAGTATCACAGCATGGAAAGGTCGGATGGTCGTCTCCTGGACCTCTTCAGTAGGGCGCTGAGCTAGAGAACAATCTCAGTCAAGGCGCACGTCAGCTGCGCAATGTGTTAAAGATGCTGATGTGCGCACTCCCAATGTACCTGACTTTCAGGGACGGGGTGTCAGTGCGATTCAAAGAGTGTTGATCGGCAGAGCCTTTCATGCCAAGGCTAGAAAAGACAGGATTTTGCCCTGCCTGTGGGACAAATTCTCGTGCAGGGAAGTTAGGCAAAGATATGCATGTCAAAGAGGCCGCCCATGATTCGCAACGACCTTTCCGTCTAATTAGTCAGCCAATTTCTTCAGAATTAGACGTCGATATGGTATTTACCAATACTGAAGAATAGCACCAGCAAGATGAAACGATGCGCGGCACTCGAGGGACGATTAGCAAAAATTCCGGTGCTGAAACTTTCAGTACAGCGGATGTCTGCTCCTGTAGACCTTGATTGGCGGGTACAGCTGCGTGTGGTAATTGACAACAGTATTTGTAGAGCATGCGTCACTTGACGGATAGGACAAGCGGCAACCCACGTCCCTATTAGATAGACGACCGTGACACTGACTGGCGCTTTCTGGAACAGGAGGACCCAACTGGCACGAATCGAGAAGGGATATCAGGTACAGAGCAATTAAGGATACCTATTATTGCTGTTCTGGGTTTTCTTTGCCTGCAGAATAGTTATAATTTAGGAGGATCCAGAAGTCCTGGGGTGGTTTCACAGGCCCAGGCCCAGGCCCAGGCCCAGTTTGATGCCTCTTCTTACCTGTTCTTCCCGCACTCCCAGGCTAGAAATGATCACTGCTTATGGAGTACTGGTAAGTTAGTTAACAATTGATTTGGCTGAATTCCTCCTCAGGGCGTGTCTAAGCATCTCCCCGTGTAACCCCTCAGGTCCCTTTCATGCCGTCAATCACTACATCTGAAGCTCCACAAGCTTAACGAGCCGTTTCAATCGTGTTTTATTTATACTTTGGGAAGCACAACTGGCACTGCAGTTATGCAGTTCCCAGATTCACCCTAACAACTCAATTGCGCATCTGCTTTCACGAATGCATTCATCACATATGCCTTGATATTTCCACCCAGCTATAAGGCCTCCAAAAAAGGACCTCGGAACCGAACCAAGAATCGGGCGCACAGACCGAGCGTCTCAAGAGTGGAGTGTCGTAACTTTCGTGAGTGGACTCAGAAAGACCCAGCAAAAGCTATTTGCCACGTGATCTGTCATATCAGCAGCCGGCGAAAGACAGCTTCCCCCAATTCGGCAAATCGCCTCCAAAATAGCTCCCAATTCCCTACTAGGACCTACACATCCTAGCACCTCCACATCTCCAAGGTCAACCCCAGTTTCCTTTGACCGCGTCCGTTACCTCACTCATCGCCGACTTAGCTGCCTATATCGAACATCTTGATCTGTGATATACTTAAGCATCGTTTCTGTCCTTCCTCCGTATTCGGCAGCATTCTGGTTGGCGCCGCACCACAGATTCCACCCTTCGGCTCGAGGCACTCTCGAACACTGCTCCACACTTCGGACAGCTCCGGCCTCAGCTGGTACCTCTCTCCCAACTCGATAGTCTCGCGACTCGGCAGCAACGTCGACATCGCTCATGACCTCGCCCTAGGCTGTCTCCCGATTCTGTTCATCACCCAACTGTCTACCTCCACGAATCCTATGGGCCATTGAGTTAAAGGCGGTCAAAAAGTAGATATTTGCGATCCTGGACTCACGTCCGCTGGCGCACTTTATCCTAGCCACCTACGTGATTCACGGCATTTCTATCGTATCCCTTACTTCTTAAGATCGAAGAAGTGGATCTTTAATATGGGTGCGTGCGGCAGCACGGAAGTGGGAGAGGATCTGGAGCAGAAGAAGAGAAGTCAAATGATAGATAAAAAGCTGGAGGAAGACTCGAGGAGGTTACGAAGGGAGTGTAAAATATTACTTCTTGGTATGGCTACATTTGGCTATGAACTGGGATCGCTCAATTGACTGGCCTTACAGGTTCTGGGGAAAGCGGCAAGTCAACGATCGTAAAACAGATGAAGATCATCCATCAGAATGGCTACACCCAAGACGAGCTAGCACTCTACCGTCTGACAATCTACAAAAACCTCGTAGACTGCATGAAAGCTTTGACTTCAGCAATGATCCAATTCGGCATTGAACCAAGAGATCCGAAAGTTAGGGAGCTGGTCGAGTATATTGATGAATACAACGTCGATCCCGACCCGCACACACCACTGGATCCAAAAGCTGCTGAAGCTGTGGAGTTGATCTGGCACGACGATGCAATACCTAGGGTAATGGAACACCAAAGCGAATTTTACCTGATGGATTCAGCGCCATAGTATGCCACCTAGAAGCTCCGTCCCCACAATTGAACTGACACCCCCAGCTTTTTTGATGAGGTGAAGCGAATAGCAGGACCAGGCTATACTCCGACCGAAGCCGATGTCCTAAGAGCCAGGACAAAAACAACGGGTATCTACGAGACGAGATTCACCATGGGCCAACTGAGCATACAGTCCGTACATCGATACTGTCACTGTCCATGAAAGCTGACCAGAATTAGTATGTTCGACGTGGGAGGTCAGCGGAGCGAACGGAAAAAATGGATTCATTGCTTCGAAAATGTCACATCAATTATTTTCTGTGTTGCTCTGAGTGAATATGACCAAGTGCTTCTGGAAGAAACCAATCAGGTGAGATCATAATGCCTAGCAATGGAGATTTCAGCTGATGATACAATCAGAATCGAATGATGGAGAGCCTGGTTCTATTTGATTCGGTCATCAATTCAAGATGGTTTATGAGGACGAGTATCATCCTGTTCCTCAACAAGGTCGACCTGTTCAAGATCAAGCTTGCACGATCCCCTCTCAGCAACTATTTTCCGGACTATTCGGGCGGTAACGATGTGAATAGAGCTGCAAAATACTTGTTGTGGCGATTCAACCAGGTCAATCGAGCCAACCTTAATCTCTACCCTCAGTAAGTCACGGTCCGCTAAATGATCTCCTATTACTAATAGACTGCCAGTCTCACACAAGCCACCGATACTACCAACATCCGCCTAGTCTTTGCAGCCGTCAAGGAGACCATTCTGCAGAACGCACTGAAAGATTCAGGCATTCTATGATTTTCCAAGTGCCACCCTAGACACCGCCGCCCCTTTTGCCAAGGTGTCATAGGCGACTCTTGATATTGAGCAAGCTGCTCTGTTTTAGTAGCCAGGCGCTTGGGATTTGTTCTGAAGATGTCTACAGGGACCTTCTTGGTGTTGGGAGAAGTTTGCATAGGTAAGAAAAGACGCTTCTCAAAAGTTGGCCACAGGAGCACAAGTCCTGAGTTCGTTGCAAGTGAGGTTTTTGGAACTGAAACTGTTCTATGGCCTGCTACACGACTCGGAGAACCGCTTCTAGACTGGGAAATTTCGAGCAGGCCAACTCCATACCTGTCTACATTCGTGTTGTTTGGCATAGGGCTTGGTACCTCTGTTGGTGGTATAATGTGTGTTTTCAAGCGACATGTCAGTCTGTTGAGGGATAAGTAGAGCCCTTGCATGATCATGTCTGAATAATTGGAAGCACATGAAGACAGTGTGTGAACGCATTGGTTAGCAATCGATACCTATGTTGAAAATTATGGATGGTGGTCATAACCATCATTGCCAATTGGTATAAATATACGAGGAGTAGACGAAACCATGACTTGAAACGTTGTCACCTTCACCACTCCTGACTTGTAGCTGCGTGCGGAGGACTGTAGCAGTTTGAAATGCAGACTTGACGGTGACCTCCGTCTATTTGTGGCGGACCCCACGTTCCTCAACCTCAGGCGTTCATGGCCCGGAGGCCCGAGCGCTGGAGAATCCGTCTGGAGCTTGACCTCTGTAGTTAGCCCCTCCGCCACCCACGTTGATGGTTTCAGGCTTCTGCAATGCCCAGGCCTTCAGCACACACCTGAGACCGAGTCGCACCCACGCCAGCAAAGACGCCGACCGTAGCGCGATTGGCCACAGCGGCTGCATCTAACCGTCATCCCCACTCCCTTATGTACCTTGGGTGCTTCAGACACATGCAAGTATGATCCCAGCGAGAGCTTGAGGATTGAAGCACTAGCGCCTGGGGCGATGCAAGGAGTACGGCTGTTTCATTCTTCAAGATCCACTGGCGGCCATCATCCTCTTTCATGTTGGTCTTGCTCAAAGAAATGGGGGCACCAACAGGGCTCTCAAAGAGGTTCGGTGGTGAGTTACAGGTTCGCACCTACAACCCAAACCTGAAGCTGCAGCTGCAGCTACCGCTGCCACCCTAGCTAGGTTACCGTACGTTAGCTTCGCATATTTGGGGAAGGAGTAGCTAAGCCTCGAGGGGCAGGATTAGATTGATACATATCTACACCGTCCTTTTCTCAACAGAATATCTATTCTGCAATCAACTGTCCCTGCCTTTTCTTCTTACGTTCAAGCATCATTCAGGCATCATTCAAGCACCTCAATCTCCCCGTCGATCCTTCGCAAGATGGCCACTGCAGCCACGCAGAACCCTCCCCGCGAGCGGAAGCCCTCAATGGGTGCTCCAATCTCCTCGCTGATGCAAGGACCGGTTGGACCAGGCTATACTCGTCCGAAGCATAAGCGTACCTTCACTGGCTTCGGTGCAGGTGATATCAAGAGCGTCGAGGCAAGCATTCCAGAGCCTCAGAGAGAGGCGTAAGTCAATCATCCCACCAATGCTTGCCCTGCAGAGACTGACCGAAGACGCAGATGGAGAAAATTTGTAGGAAGCTCGCCCTGAGTCAATTGATAGCATCAGACGTACTCACCACTATACCTAGTCTGCCTCAGGATTCAAAACAAAGGAGGAGTTCGAGGTTTGTTGCAATCTCTACACCGACAGGACCGAGTCCTGATTGTTTTTTAGAAAGAATTTGTGAAACATGTGGAAACGACACTTGCCAGGTCTTTATTCAATTGCGATGAATTGTGAGTGGCATCTTTGATGGCAGATCTTTCTGTAGTACTGATCTGTGGTGGACAGGGCTGCTTATTCTGGCACTGCCCTTGCTTTCCGCGATCGATTGGTGATCGAGTGGAACAAGACCCAACAACGCCAGACTTTTGCAGACCAGAAGAGAGTTTACTGTACTTCCCGCCAAGACTTCCACATCAATCGATTCGGAGCAGCAGCTAACCCTTACCAGATTTATCCCTTGAGTTTCTCATGGGCCGTGCGCTTGATAATGCTATGCTCAACGTTGGCTTGAAGGACGTTGCAAAAGGTAGGAGACCCGTCTTCTGTACCTCTGACTCACTTCTCATTTTTTGCCAGAGGGTCTAGGTGATCTTGGCTTCCGGATCGAAGACGTGATCAGCCAGGAACACGATGCTGCTTTGGGAAATGGCGGTCTTGGACGTCTGGCCGCATGTTTCCTTGACAGCATGGCTTCCCTCAACTACCCTGCCTGGGGCTACGGATTGCGATATCGATACGGAATCTTCAAGCAAGAGATCGAGGACGGGTATCAGGTCGAAATTCCAGATTACTGGCTCGACTTCAATCCTTGGGAGTTTCCGCGACACGATGTCACTGTTGATATTCAATTCTACGGCTGGGTAAGGAAATACACTGATGACAATGGCAAGAACGTGTCATCATGGGAAGGAGGAGAGATAGTCCAGGCAGTGGCATACGACGTGCCAATTCCAGGCTATCGCACACCCACAACAAACAACCTCAGGCTTTGGTCCAGCAAGGCCGCTAGCGGCGAATTCGACTTCTCCAAGTTCAACGCTGGTGAGTACGAGAGTGCCGTTGGTGATCAACAGCGAGCCGAGACCATCTCCGCTGTGCTTTACCCCAATGACAACCTCGACCGTGGCAAGGAGCTCCGTCTGAAACAGCAATACTTCTGGTGTGCAGCTTCCTTGTACGATATTGTCCGACGCTTTAAGAAAACGAAGCGAGCTTGGTCGTCCTTCTCAGACCAGGTTGCAATTCAATTGAACGATACTCACCCAACACTAGCTATTGTCGAGTTGCAACGCATCCTTGTCGACATTGAAGGCCTTGACTGGGAAGACGCTTGGAACATTGTCACAAACACCTTTGGATACACCAATCATACCGTGCTGCCGGAAGCGCTGGAGAAATGGTCTGTTCCTTTGTTCCAGAATCTTCTTCCTCGTCACCTTCAAATCATCTACGATATCAACCTATTCTTCCTCCAGTCCGTCGAGCGAAAATTCCCCAAGGATCGAGAAATGCTGTCTCGGGTGTCCATCATTGAGGAGTCTCAACCAAAGATGATAAGAATGGCTTACCTTGCCATTGTTGGCTCCCACAAGGTGAATGGTGTAGCTGAGCTCCACTCTGATCTTATCAAGACTACCATATTCAAGGACTTTGTCCAAATATACGGACCGGATAAGTTCACCAATGTCACCAATGGTATCACACCTCGAAGGTGGCTCCACCAGGCGAACCCGCGTCTTTCGGAGCTGATTGCCTCCAAGCTAGGTGGCTACGACTTCTTGAAAGACCTGACTCTCCTCAACAAGCTCGAACACTTTATTGACGATAAAGACTTCAAGAAGGAATGGGCCGAGATCAAGTATGCAAACAAAGTCCGCCTTGCTCAGCACATCCAGAAAACTACCAGCGTCAGCGTCAATCCCAAAGCGCTCTTCGATGTTCAAGTCAAGCGTATCCACGAGTACAAGAGGCAACAGCTGAACATCTTTGGCGTCATCCACCGCTATCTAGCCATCAAATCGATGTCCGCCGAGGAGAGAAAGAAGCTGACTCCAAGAGTCTCCATCTTCGGGGGCAAGGCTGCCCCAGGGTACTGGATGGCCAAGACCATCATCCATCTTATCAACAAAGTTGGTGAGGTCGTCAACAAGGATAAAGACGTGGGTGATCTGCTCAAGGTCATCTTCTTGGAAGATTACAATGTCAGCAAAGCAGAGATCATCTGCCCTGCATCAGACATCAGTGAGCACATCTCCACAGCAGGTACCGAGGCTAGTGGCACGAGCAACATGAAATTCGTGCTCAACGGTGGTCTCATCATCGGCACCTGCGATGGCGCCAACGTAAGTCCCATTTTCTGACGGGTGTGTATGATTGCTTGGCTGATGATCAACTCTTAGATCGAAATAACACGCGAAACCGGCGATCAAAACATCTTCCTCTTCGGCAACCTAGCTGAAGATGTTGAAGACCTGCGCCACGCCCACTACTACGGCAAACACGAGCTCGATCCCGAGTTGAAGAAAGTGTTCGAGGTTATCAACCAGGGCATGTTTGGGGACCAGTCCGCGTTCTCTTCGCTCGTCAACGCCATTGTCGAGCACGGGGATTACTATCTGGTGTCGGACGATTTCAGGTCTTATTGCGAGACACAGGATCTGATTGATGAGACGTTCAAAGATCAAGATGGCTGGATCAGTAAATGCATCACCAGCGTTGCGAGGATGGGTTTCTTTAGCAGTGATCGATGCATCCAGGAGTACGCGGAGAGCATCTGGAATATTGAGCCGTTGGATGTGGAGAAATAGAGAGGGCGGGATAAGGAAGCACAGCTAGTGTTGGGTAGACTCAAGTTACAGGCACTCGGGTGAAGATTTGGAGAGAAGAAGGAGAGAGGATATCACCGCTTCAACCACGTATGGTCAGAAAGCATCCATAGATTAGATGAGTGAAACAAAGGGTCATGCATACACATCTCCCATTTCCAAGCAAGCCACTATGAGGTTTGCAGCATCTGCCATCTGCCATCTGCCGCGAGGACATAAACCCCCCCGACTCAATGACAAATGAATGCTACACTATTGAATTCCATGACCTTCCCCTTCCTCTGAGACTCGGAGGGACTCTCATCATGACCCAAGGATAGCCAGGACATTCTCCGTCTTCCTACTCGTATGAGGAATAAGGAAAAGGAAATATAGTAGGAGAAGGAGAAGGAGAAGGAGAAGGAGAAGGAGAAGAGAATATTGCGCTGTGCACATAAGACAGAGAAAGAGTCTGAGTGACAGTGATGTTCGGCCTGCAGGGGATGGGGCAGGGCAGGGCAGGGCAGGCAGGGCAGGGCATGGCATGGCGTCCTTCCTTGAGACGAGGATGCGGAGGGGAGAAAAAATAAATTACTTTATTGTTATATGCCTATCTAGGTTGATCATGTTAAAAGAATCTCAGGGACGTGCGTCTTTCTGGGGAACGTTCCCATGTGTAATGCTCCCCCCCCCCCACGTTGTATTGCAACGGCTCGGTTCCTTGCATGATAGAATCGTCTCTATAGTCTATAGATATATAGGAAGAAAGGGGATATTCATCATGCATTTACGTGGAACAAACAAGAAAGAAAGCAGGCAGGCAAGCAAGCAAGCAAGCGGACTTCGGATGCCAATCCCACCGGGAAGCTTGTCAAGACGTGCCGTCGACTTCAGCGTCGCCTAGACTGCCATAACCGGTATCGTTGCTGACGCTGCTGTATCGGCGTGTTGGTCCGTGGCCACGCGTGTAGCGGTGCACACGCACATGCTCAACCTCATGCGCCTGACCCGCCTCGAGTTCGTTGCACAGCAGATCCAGCCTCCGGACTATCCCAGCGGAGGACGATTCAGTAGCGGTAGATCCGGGGTGAGCTCGCGCCCAAACTGCGAGGTTTCTAGCCGTCTGCGCCAACCACCTGACGCCAGAACCCGGATCATCGTTCCTCAACGACTGCAAAAGCACATGATACGCGGGTGCGAAGCTTAGCAGGCTCGTTTTCTCGGGATCGATATGTAAAACGGCGAAGAGACCCACCACCGTACACTCCCTGCTTGCGGAAGCGGTAGTCGTGCAACGATTACGTAAGGCGATCATAATGGAGGCGCAGTCGAGGACGGTGGCGACTTCTGAACATGCGGAGAGAGGCATGGACGAGTCGATGAAGACTGGAAGGGGATTTCCGCTGGTTGATCGATGAGATGTGGTGGGGGAGGAGCGGGGAAGAGCGGATAGGACTTTCTGTGCATTTGAGGCGCGGTCTTGTTCGATGAAGACGGCTTTGACGGCGAGCGCACGGGTATGTGCTGCAGAAAGAGGAGGTGCGATTGTCAATGCAAGGTCTAGAGTTGATTTGAATAGAGCCTGGTCTTTTTCGTCGTCGGATAACGAAAGGATGAGGGCCTGATGTAACTTCTGACATGACCACCAAGCGGCGATTGCGTCCAGTGGAGATCTGATGGCGTGGTCCTCGACGACGACGTCCATTAGGCTGTTGCTGCCATGGCTAACTTCGTCAATGGACCGATCATACATGAGGTTGTATGCACGTTGTAGGACAGCGTCCAGCATTACATCCCCACAATCGAGACTTAGTAGTTCAGCAAGATGTGTCGGCAATGCGTTTTCGTCCTTCACGTTCGTATCTGCGGCGAGACGTTGAGCTCTTCGCCATTGCCGATGAGCCAGGAAGACAGCGATCTTGTTGCTTGTACGTGAGACCACTCCTCCATCTTGGCCCACTCTCCAGAGCACCACACGACAGTGTAGGGCCTTCAGCATTAATCTTGTAGGGGTCTGTGGTAGCGTACCCGAGGCAAATATGCTTAGGACCAATCGACTCCTGCTGATCTCTGGGTCTCCTCCAGCGAGCTGAGCATCAACAGCAATATCCCATGCTTTCACTCGAGCCAATTCATCCTCTTCTATTCTACCTGTGATCCATGCATACGTCTGGAACCCTACCACGAGACGAACGGTGTACTTGAGCCACTCGATGGTCACGGCGAACCACTCTGGAAAGAAGCTGTGATGAGGAAGCCCGAGTGTCTGTATGCTGGTCAACCAAGCCTGTCGGCGGACCTCAATGGGTGACGCTAATGACGGAACCTTTCGAAGCTTGGATGGCCTTTCGGCTTGTTCAGCCTCAGCAGGTTTCGAGTTGAACAAGTATGTGAAGACGATTAAAGCCAGCAGGCTCAGAGCTAGAAACCCTTTTATAAGAGGGATGACGCCTCCAGCGCGGCAATATTGCATGAAGGCTGCGATAAAGGCTTTAGGAGATCGCAGAAACCACCAACCATCCATGAACTCGAGTGGTATGCCGAATAAGCCTTTGGCTTTGGAGTCAGAGCCGTCCTGGCTTTCGCTTAGACCGTCCACGATCATGAGACCGGCGAGAGATCCTATCATGAACTTGGCAGGCCATCGCCGACCACCTTTATGGCCTTCTTGTGGAGCGTCATATATAGCACCATAATGTTCCTGAGGCTGATTCTGGCGAAGCTTCTTCATACTTTCTGGTACTGGTATAAGCCCTTGAGGTGGATGTTCTGTTGCTCTTCGCGTCTGGTCAGAGCATTTTCCAGTCTCCTGGTCTACCACCTCGACGGAAGATTTGCTGGTAAAAGCAACGGCACGCTCATCGCCATTGTTTCCATCTGAAGCAAGGACTCTTTCAAGCTTTAGCAGTCTCTGCTTCAAAGCTACGTTCTCATCGTCTAACCTCTTGTTCCGTATCTCCAGATGGCGAATATATTCCACAGCTTTGGACAGGATGGAGGCCTTGTTGAGCTTCGTTGATCCAGATGGGTCCTCCGCATCATGCTCGACATCTTCGCCGTCCTTGATCCCTTTTGTTGCTGAAATACGCAGACTTGGTACACTTTGTCTCAGCTCCGCTATCTTGTCGTTTAGATTGGCTCGATAACGCTTCTCAATTACGTTGTGGGGTCGCTTCTTGTTTGCCGGCTTTTGTTGGTCATTGGTGGCGGCGATGGAGGGGACTGGTCCCTGCTCATGAGAAGACTTTCGCTTGAGGTGTAGACGAGAAAGCTCTGATGACGATGTGCTCCTTAATGTCTCTCCACTTAACCGCGGTTCTGGTATATGGAGGGTTTCGGGTGAGCTGGAACTATGGCTGGGAGTAGGAAGTCCATTGCTTTGAGGATTCCCGTCGCTGGAGGCTTTGGGTATCGAGAGAATCGAGAGAAACGGTTGGAGATCGCTACCTGCCGTCGACGATGGCGACACTGCTTGAGACGGGTGAATTTTGGCGAACGCTGTAGAAGTGAGAGTAACGTCCGTTGATGCTGAGACATCCGATTGATAGGTGCCTGGTTGCTGTTCGTCCCCGTCCCCGTCCCACTGCATCCATTGGGTCCAATCCGGAGCTGCTGCAATACCTTCCATTGCCTTTCACATGCGAGAGACCACAATCAATTTCACCGTCTGCTAGAGCCCTCTCCTTTCATATCAGCTCCCCACTAAATATCACCAAGGAGCGAGTGTGCGTGTGCAATCCACTGTGGCTGAGCACGCACTTCCGGCCACACCATGCCCGGAAAGCGCTCTGCCGAAGACGCCCTGCACCCTTGCTGCTGTGGATGGCTGGCCGCAATTATCACAAAGCAGTGTACGGAGGGATATGCTTTTAATTTGCTGTTTAAATACCCGTATTTAATATATTACAAGTACGATCGTAATACTACGGGTATGCAAGTAGTGGGCTGTAAGATAAACTATTAACATTTCCTGTGACGTAAGCTCGACCGACAGCTGCTCATCTGTGCGAATTCTGTGCGAATTCTGTGCCAGGAACAACCCACTTTATCGCCCATTGAAGCGCTGAGAGGTAGCCTTTGGTTGTTCGTAGAGCGCAGACACTATGTCATGGATGGACTCGTGGTCACGGCCGTCCAAACATGCTGCAACCCCTCCTCCAATGTATCTACTGCCAGGTGGCGAAACTACACCATATTGTCACAGCTGTGGACGTGTGATTGGATCTCGCAAGGCACAGACTTCGAAGAGAAGCAAAGAAGGTGTAAAATACTGTTCAGAACGCTGCCGTCACAGAAAGACAAACCAAATCGATCGCAATATTGAGAATACGTTTGTCTCGTTGCTGAATGGAGCAGAACCGGCAGCCCGCTTGCCTGATGGCGCCTCAAGTGGACTGTCATCGCGGAAGAAGGACACGAGCTTGGCGCTTTGGAAGAGAACAAAAGGAGAACCACGCATCACGGTCCTTTGCAGCACAGTCGAGGAGCTCATTTTCGGCTCCAGAAACGATCCAGACAAAGTCTTTGGACGTAGGAAGAACCGCGCCAAACGAGGCGTGCCGGATATAGGCGAATGGAAAAGTGTAGACATGGAAGACAGCACGTCCTCAGTTTTTGAAGACTATTCAAAGAGTCAACCAGAAGGTGAAATGCACCATCATAACATCCGTCCTGAGGATCAAGCCAAAGATCCATTCACATACGGCGCCGGCAAAACTCGGCCTGCACAGAGTGTGTCTGATGTCAATTTCAGCGTTGGTGGGGAGCGAGGTTGGGCTGAAAAGATAGAAGAGACCGAGGAACTCAAGCAAAAGAGGCTAGAAGGGCAGAGGAAAGCTGAAGAGCGTGAGGCTGTCAGGTGTGCTGCAAGGCGACTATGTGCTTTCGGCATTGTGATATCTGAAGTGGATGAGCCAAAGGACAAAGGAAACGGAGGGGCAACAAGAAAGCAGAAGGAAGCAGCTCTGGAAGATCCTGCTCGTACCATTTCTGAGCACGTTGAAACGAGGAGGAAATGCGAAGCTGTCCTGAACGAAGGTACTATTGTTGAGGCAAGCTTTGCCAAAGGAGAATGGGGGATCCGGTGGAGGGAATGACGCGTGCGAGATCCTTTCAGAGCAAACTGCCATAAGGACTTGCGCCTTACCACAGAAGAATGACGGATTATGCCTCGAAGCTGGATTCATACAGCCATACCAGGTTATTGACTTCGGGGTACAACGCCCCTAATCTGGGCTGCTCTTCCTCTGCGAGACAAGAGCGGGCCATTTTCAGGCGGCACCATAAATGGCGTTTCGTATTTAGTGTGGAAACCGACAAGAAGCAGCTTGACTACCCTGCAAGTAATAAGACTCTGGCTCTATCGAATCGGTTTCCTCATGCATCAATTTATTGCTGCCAGGGAGTACCTACATATATGTTCAAACGGAGATGGAAGAGCTAACTAGAGTCTTATCGCTTGCTGAGCATTGCCTAAATATGCGATGGCCCTTCCCAGACAATCCTTAGATTCAAAATAGCCTGATCACGACTTGAATGGCAGGACTTGGAGTGCTGTATCCTTGAACAAGTGCACTTCAGTGCTGTGAATATGTAGAGGGAATGGCAACATAGGCAGCGGAGATGGTTAAAGTGAGGCTTCTGGGCCCAGAAGAGGGCCACGTCCGCCACTCCACCAAGAGGAGAGCGCTTGTGGGTTTCGAACCACACTTCACTGATCTATCTCCACTGACTGGCCCAGCTATCTGCGTCATTAGTCACCATGCGAAAATATGCCAAAACGGATGCGGTTTCATATTTTTCCGATCATTGGGTAGGAAATTGCTGGTACTAAACTAGCCACTCAATCATTACTACTACTCCGTACACATACTCCGTATGGAACTTAGCAGTCATTTAAGCAATAACGCTCTGACAGGCTGAGTCACAACCAAAACACAGCGCCATTTCAGGCCATTTCAGGCCATTTCAGGCCATTTCCGAAATCCCTCAACTCAATTCTTCCTCGAACGCTCCAACTATGCACTAGAAATCCTTCTACTTCTCACATCTCACATAACTGGTTGATTAAGCAAAGCAAAGCAGCAGCACCAGACAGCCAAGAAGGGAAAACGGCACCAGAAATCACTATCCACCATCCAGGTCCACTATCCTGGCAACCCAAACTGCGCCTGCAGATAGCCCGAACGGGTGGCTTTCACAAGCTGCAGATAGCTTCCATCCACTCATCCTTCACGCCCAGAGCACAATTCTGCTGAACAACTTAAGTCTGGCAGCAACCCAGACATATATATCAGCCTAGCTTCCACGCCTAACTAGCACCTACACTGCTTGGGGCTGTTATTGGACGGCTTAGACATCCTGTTGCGTGGCTTCTGCAACTACGAAGCATGATGGCCTCTCTGGCACCACCATCATCTCCATCGTCAAGGTCTTCCTTATCTCAAGAAGGTAAGTGGTGCACACCTATCCGCTTAGCAAGACCCCGGATTCACATCTCCCGCTTCCCTTGCATATTTCCGCGTGGTGAATCCCAAAAACAAAAAGAATTCATCTCAGCCCTTTTGCAAAGCACGAGTTTGGTTCGCGTTTGGTTGAGATCGTTCTAGCCGAGTCCTGACATTTTGGTTGTGTCGATCATTTTTTGCAGACCCAGTGACGGAGTTGCAGATCTCTTGCCTTGTCAACCGCAGCGCCAATTATCTATCAGGCGCAGCGGCGATCTCTCTCTAACGTTAACAGAAACGGATGCCCAGGATAGGGAATTACAATTTGATTATCGTCCCGTCACCCCTTTGAGTAATACCACACCTACTGTCGCCCAGCCTATCCTCATACCTACAACACCTGTCAGCCGGCGTGATCCAGACCGCGTCCCGACTCCTGTATCTGGTCGAGGCGACAGAAAGGGTCACCTCTTCCCAGTCAAAGCACTCTCTCCTACCAGACTATCACACTTCGCATCCGGTCAGGAAGACATTTCTCAGACCTTACCTCCACCCAGCTTCGATCACACATATCATCGCAGATCGTTGTCACTCACTCTCTCACCTCGGTCGCACCCTCTCGCCATGATGCATGCGGATCGTGCCAGTGCCCGTTATACTCCTACTTCTCCTCTTTCGCCACGGTTAGACGGTAGCACCCGTCCCATTTCTCCACAACCGTCCCGAACACGGCGCCAAGCCTCTCGACCAATGAATATCCCTATTCCCAAGTTCCATCCGCTACATTTCCAGCAAAGGGATATGCCAGCAGCTTCTACTGCGTCCTCCCACAACCCAATCATGAATTTCACCAAGCATACTTCCACCACCGAGTCCCAAAGGCTGATGAAGGAACGTCAGCGCGACCTCATAGATAAAGCTAAGATGTCTTCTCGCTTCGCTGCTTCTCCACATGGTGTAAAGCCTGATGCACCACGGCTCGATCCTCTAGGCAGCCCCAAAGGACCTGTCACTCCACTTGCGCTCGAAGAAGGGGGCGATTATTTTCTCCTTGGAAGCAGTGGGGGAAATTCACCCGTTGTTAGTCCAGCCTCCCGTAGCGAGGGATCTGTGAAAGATATTGGAGATGGTGCTCGGGTGAAGAAGGCATCTAAGAAAGATGGGCCCTGCCGATAATGAATGCAGGCAAACCATCACCTATCTTCTACAAAAGCATAAGATGTCTTACTTGGTAGTGTGTCCTTGTCTGCCAATCATCTCTTTTGCATATGATCTGGCGTCAATTGAACGGAGCGTGCGGTGCATGCTGATGGCCATGGGCCGAGCAATCTCAGCGTTACACGCAAAATATAGCATATCAAGCTTTTCACCGGCGCTCTGCATTTTGGTCGTTCGCTTAATCCGGTAGGAACTATTTCATTCCTCCAATCGTACCCAAGTGGCGGCAACAGCCTTGGGAGAGCAGATGCTTTACCTTCGCTTCATGGAGAAGCAATAAAACAAAGGGCTTTGATGGAAGGACACGGGCAGAGTCTCAGTGCGTGATTGCATCACTACGTGGTATGTCTCTGGAAGGCTAGCTTATTCGCATCGTGGATATGGGATAGAACTGAGGTGGTGGTGATCAGCCGCACCGCTCAGTGCACGATTGCATCAACACGATTACGTCCTTGGATGGCCAGCTGGCTTAGTTGACCAAGGATAGATATATGGATGCAGGGGAAAAGCATGGTTAAAGAAACAGAGCTTAGAACGGGAGAGAACAGTACACCCCCTAGTAGCAACAATCAAAAGCGACTGAGCTGCAAGTTGTCAATTAGGCTTTCTTCCCCCATTAGAACTGATGTTGTCTTCTATGAAGTGTGTGCCAGCTCGATGAACCGTCACCAAAATCATTCTATCTCCTCTCTTCCCGAGTCACTCGACGAGCGCCTCCACCTCCCAAAGCACCATATACAAGGATTCTACAATCGGCCAACGCCTAAAGAAGTTCAACTCCTCATCTTACAAAGACGGTACTACCCTACCGGGCAGAAGTATCCCTAGCACGGCGTTAGTATTTGCCACTCTGAACACTATGGGTACAGATAGCCCTGTCGATTGTGTACGGCTATTCTTGTTGATAAACAAACAAACTAATCTTATTGGGCGATTTCTGGACACTTTATACTCAATACGGCAAGTGAGCAATACGTGGCGTTGTAACTTTACATGGCTCTTCTTAGCGCCGTGCTAGGGATAACTTCTGCCCCCTATCTGAAGTAGTTAGCGGATAGTATCCACCATCTAACTGCCCCGGATGTGGAGTTAAAGTGGTTTGACAGTAAGAATCGGCCCGGAGATAATGGAATTCAAATAGCTCGTTCTGTGTAACGTGGTATCAGAGCGTCGAGTTGGCCTCGAGGTCGTTTCACGGCGGCGATCAAGACAAGACTAGAGGAGACGAGACGCGCGAGTGGAGTGAAGGAATGGAGAAGGATTGGATCTGCCGGGCTGGCCCGGTATCGGATGAGCCAGATGGTGTCCTTGGCCTGCCAATCAGATCTACTGATCAGCCATAACTTGAAGCCTAAGGCTTACTATAGTAGTCCGCATGCACTGGCAAGAGAAGGGTCTTGGCGTTATCTGGAGAAGTTTTGATGCGGCATGATTGCTCTAGTAAGAGTAGTCATACATAAATTGTCCAGGGAGCTTGATTGATTGGGGGAGGAGGAGCAGGAGAAGGAGGAGGCGGGTCTGACAGGAAGGGGTTTTCAACCAAGTATGGTCCAAAAAACCCATTAGCCCTGTCCTTTTGGTAGAGTGCAGTGGTTGAGGAATCCTTCCTCGTGCATATTCGGTTGCCCTGATCAGAATATTGAAATGTCGGCACGTGTGTCACGTTGATTGAGTGATCGTCATAATCGTCATGGTCGTCTGCAGAAGAAACTTTATGCTTGCATGCATATTTGATGGGCATGCCATCATCCGCGACCTAGGAAGCTGGTCTAATTGACTACCGAGACCTAGTACGTACGTGACACAATAATCAGCCAATCTTGTCGTCACTGACGTTAACGGATATTCGGCAACCTAAGAAATTAACTCGCTGGGTTGGATGGTCAAAGGGCTTTCTGCCAATGGAAGCCAGCTATCAGCACGTGTTACTGACCATGGCTGAGTCATGTTCATGCCCGAATCTCATGGGATGTGTTGTGTTGTATGTCGGTTAAAGCGTTCTCACATCTCCCTCTGGTTTTAAGTTGGCTCAATCAATATTTTGACGACGTGGTCATTTCCAAGCACAGGGCCTATTATATGCTCAGTACAAGGGAGAGTTTCAACGTCACTGCTAGTTTAGAAAAATGTAGGGGTGTGATATCCACTTTTTGTCGTCCAGCAGCAGTCCTTGGAGTCAACCCTGTAAATATACGCCCATGGCGTTGATTGAGTGGTGCCCTCGAGTTGTTTATGGGAGGCAGATTGGACGGCCAAGGCGGGCCTGTCGGCAGTAGTGTTGCACAACTCGAACTTGGGTGCGAGTACTAGAGCATTTCTCCGTTATGAGTGAGGCAGCACGCATCGCGACATGCTGAATATCTGGGCAAGTAAGCTGCCAGGGGTACGTACCAGATCATCCGCAGGCCTGCTAGAGGAGGTCCAGTCTAGAGATGCAAGAGGCAACAGATAACAATGCTCTTAGTTGCTGTGCTCTAGGGGTTCATCACCATCAAGGATATTGCTGTAGACGGGGTTTCTGGGACTGTCGTAGGCATCAGGCTAGTTCGAAATCTCCATTCAATTGGAGCGAATGTAGCTTGTAACACAGAACATTGGCGGAGGCATTTTGGATTGGCAGAGAAGGGTGCTGAGTTGGGCCTTCATCAAATAGCATGCTTTGGTGTCTCTTCACATCTTTGGTCCCCACATGATGACAGTACCAACATCCGGCAGACGTTTAGAAGTACAACTTCTCTTCCTACAATATGATTCTGGCCATCAAGGAAGGTTTTGCCAGTATGGTTTAGGGTGCTCTAGGTGCAGTGCCTGAGTCAGCCTGGAAGGCCACTGACTTACTATCTTGGTAAGCCCATAATCGGAAATGGATAAACGATGTTCCTGTGATCGACCACAACCCAATCTTCACGAACATCCAACGACAACGTGTTGAAGAGTGTGAATTCGCCTATGAATTGACATGCACATGCATCGTCCAGCCCCTGTAGCACGGGAAGTAAATCTACAACGTCCATTTCAACTAATAATGAGGTCTTTGTGGGATGGAAAGCAGGTGAAGGGTACCTGGTGGCTTGTAAGCCATGTCGCTCACGGGTGTAGACCCAATAACGAGGAATCCTTCTCCAATCCTTCTAATGTGTCCTCCATTGAATCAAATACATTCAAGCACACAATAATTCCTGTCTTTGTCAATCTGGGCAAGATGCGATAACTTGTGCATTTTCCCTGCCTTGTATGAAGTGTTCTGCCCGTTGCTTAGTCCTCATGCCCATCTGCCCGCTGGACATGTCTATATTCTCTTAACCTCTGAATCATTTCCCTTATGAACAAACTCCTGACCCCGTAATTCCTATATCGGATGTATGAAAATGGTCAATCTACTGTGATGCCGCAACCAAGCTTAACACTTCGAAGCGCGAAAGCGGAGGTACATGCTATACGATGTGAGAAGTGGCAAAGTCTGCTGCGAGGAGGTAGGGGAGTCCTCAATTTGGGAATGCTGTGTGCCCATCTGAGATGTGGGTCTAAATACGCCGTTTGGCCTGGAATGTGATGATTGTGCTGGCGGCGATGTAGTGTTTCTGTATGTGGAAGGAGTTGAAGGGGGGTGGGATTTGTGTTGGCGTTGATTATAGGTAGCTGCGTAAGTACTACAGTAAATACTACACCAAAAGTATTGGGACACCCCGCATTTTTACCCCATCAACGTTTTCCACTCTTCCCATACAAATTACTACTGTACGCCCGGTATTTATTAAAATCCTATAAGAATCAATTAAATAGTGCGTCAAAATCTGCTCTTTTGAATAGTACTAATTTCCTAAATAAGCAGCTAGATATCAGAAGCGGGTATACCATCCTTTGGCCCTAATCATGTTAGGGCTCAACTAGCTAAGACAAGTCTCAACTGGAAGCTGGGTCCAAGTGGTTGGTTGGGTAGAACAGGGGGTGCAGTAACAGATACAAGTATGTCTTGAACTTAGGTGTAAGTTGATAACATGAGTTGACTACGAAGACTATGAAACTATCTGGGAAATGAGCGTGCTTATATAGGCTAGGAGATTCGTGCTCCCGAGTGCTCACGACTGAGCACCTCGTAGCATTGTTCCTGCGGAGTCGTCTCTGAGCGTTGCTCATGCGGAGACGTCTCTGAGCGTTGTTCCCAAGTGCTCACGACTGAGCACCTCTGAGCACTACGTCGGGCGTTGCCGACCTTGTAGGTAGTTCAGGGTCCTTAGGCTTATCCAAGCCTGTCATAGCTTCTTCGCAGAGCGCCAGGCAATCCCTTAGTGCCTGTCTGTGCTTGGCGTGTTCACGTGCTGTAACACCCAGCTTTAAGTTAAAGAGCTGTATAGGTAATTCTCAGATTAGCTCAAATAATGCGTAGAATGTTTCATTTTTGAACGTGATTTAATGCAAGAGGTCTGCCAGAACGTAGCAAGCTTTTGCCTTTATTGCGGAGTGGATTTCGTACGAGGGTGTTGAAAACAGTAGATCTAGTGCAATCTACTTTTTTGCTAATTTTCCTAATTGATAGGCCTACCTCATGGTAGGCTGTAATTTGACCGCGCTGATATGGAGATAGCTCCTGGCCATAGCTCCTGTTGATTTCTAGAGGCGCCAAAGCCTTGCGTTGATTCATGGTGGTTGATTGAAAAAGGCGATAAAAAACGCGTGTAGAAAAAAAAGCGCGTTTTGTCCTAATACTTTTGGTGGGGTACTGTAATTAAGTCTTCACCTTCCGCACCCCACTTATGTAAACCCCACTTAACGGGTGCACTACATAACAGAGAACCAGCATCGTGTCGCGTCGCGAAACAAAAGTCAACCACTTATCAACTAATACATCCACGCTGTGCATTCTGCTACTCGAGGAGGAGACGAAAGATGTCTCTGAGTGAGATTCCAACACTTTCTGTTCTCTACAGAACCAAAGCTTTGAAAGCGGCTGCATCCTCAGCTTACACCCCAAATCACACCCTCAATCAAAAGGTCTCCCACATACGTTACGATATTACCAAACTCCATGTCGACGCTATCGTCAACGCTGCCAATACATCCTTACTTGGTGGCGGTGGAGTTGACGGAGCTATTCACCGTGCAGCAGGCCATGGCTTGTACAAAGAATGCCGGAGATTGGATGGGTGTTCAACAGGCTCAGCCAAAATCACTGGCGCCTACAACTTACCCTGCAAGAAAGTGATACATGCTGTGGGCCCTGTGTATCATGGTCATGAAAAATCAGAGCCATTGCTGCGGAGCTGCTATCGCACCTCGCTTGATCTGGCAGTGAAGAATGGTTGTAAAAGTATCGCATTTAGCGCCCTCTCAACTGGTGTCTACGGATATCCCAGCCCTGATGCTGCAGATACAGCCATTTCGGAAGTCAGATCGTTTTTGACAGGCCCAGATGGTGAGAATATTGAAAGGGTAGTGTTTTGCTCCTTTGAAATGAAAGACGTCAACGCATACACTGAAACCCTTCCGTAAGACTCGTCATTCCTCTAGATGCTTGCTCGTTCCGGCTAATCCCTGTTTCAGCAAATACTTTCCGCCTACCAAGGATGACCTACCTGACTCAGAGACATCTCGTGATGCGTCGTCGGAGGAAGAGAAAGGACAGACTACAAGTGAGTCGCTCGCAGCCTCTCTTCCGGATGCTCCTACCACAGAACCAAAATTGCTTGAGGAGCCCACGGCTAAGAAGCAAAAGGTCGTAACGAGTTCTGAAGAGGAAAGAAAGCACCAAACCGACAACGAGGATGAGTTCGAGGGGCTCACAGATGATCAACCTTACAATGAGAGACACGCCGCGACGCAAAGCCAAAACATCGAAGAAGGATGGGAGGAGGTCGGAAAGGACGAAGATCCAGCCAAGTCCGATCATACTCCTACACCTGTTGATGTTGAACCGGTACAAGTCGAAGGTACGAAAGAGAAGATGGCAAAAGTGCTTGGGGCGGATGGAGAGGTTGCCAGCCAAGCGAGCGGTGTCCCAAACAAGCTCACCAAAGACTGGTGATGAGGATCAGGAAATATGTAATGCGGATCGCGGAACTAGCGGTGGCGTCAGGAGCTCAGATGTTATCCCATTTGGATCGTGTCGTTTGAAGACACGAATGCAAGGTGTTCATCAACAGCGAAAACTTGCTGAAGTCGAGACAAGCAGCTTTACCTTAGGTTTTGCGAATGCTATGAAGCTCTGACTCCAATAACAACAATGGGAGTGATCAGGAAGTCATCAGGCGGGATGGCGTTTCTCTACTGATACCTTTATCCATTCTAGATTTTCGGGTCAGGTTCATTCCCTGGCCAGGCTACCCTACACCCATAAATGGTTTAATTCACCATTTTGCTTCTTTGCTCGCCATGAATGTCTTTAGAATCTGCACTCTTTGCTCCAACGCCTCTAACCATACCGTCTTTGCATCATCAAGCTTCTTAGAGTCAGTTCCTCCTGCCACCATCTTAGCATAGAAATCCTTCCGATATGGTGTTGCGCTCATAGCCGCGCTGAAGATCGGTTTCACCATGAAGCTGTGGTGTGGTGCCAAAGTAGACTTATAAGCACTGCGGAAAGATGCTGAAAGCTCTTGCGATCCACTGCAAGCAATGTCTGCGCGGAGAGCTTGGGCGGTGAAATCCAGGCCTCTGGTCAGCCAGAGGAGACCTTCGGTGGCGGTGTGCTTCTTCGTTGCAAGTTCGGACTTGACGAGGGACTGGAGGGTAGAGCATTGTTCGGGGGAGTCGAGTTGTCGTTCTCGTATTTTCTGGCCCTTGTCAGACAACTGGAGACTTTTAGATGGACCGCACACGACCAACCTTGATGTTGCCGAGCATGTCATTCTTGACAGGTGTGAAAGCAACGGAACCGAGAAGGTCTAGAGGTCTCAGCAAAGCCAGTCCACTGGTAAGCCCGGGGCATCACCGTACCAAATAGTGTGGTTGTTGCTTCTGCCGCCTCTAGGAACTCGGTTGTGGCGATCCCTTGATCACCCGAGTCAATTGGCACATCTATGAAGGACTTCCTGTGCGTATCAAACCAGGTCCCGCCTGGTGGAATCAGAATAGTGCTAGCCATTGCTTGTGGATGATGAGCATGAGAGTCCTTCTTGGATCGTCAACTGTCATTTGCAACCTCTAGTTAGTATGTCCAGCGAACCTGAGACACGCAGTGTCTGAAGAGTCTCGAACGCCAAGGATGAATAGACCAGCCAGAATCCAGCGTCATTCCGTGGTTGAATCATCAAGGTCCCAGTCTCAATCTCGCTTCTCCTTTGGTGGATTGGTAGAGACGTTCATGTTATCTAAGTGTATCTTTGATTTCTATTTATGGACGCTTAGTTGACGCGCTACATATCATTCGTGATATCGTGTCGGACCAGCAAAAGCGTATCTGCTAGCTACGATTACCCTTGACGGAGGGCTCTCCATGACTACTACTGGACGCCCGCAGTCCGTGCAACCGAACGCTTGGGAGCATGGCAAAAGAGCATCTCGACCCACAGTCTTACACAGCTCAAAGACTGGTAGGTGTAGTTCTGATAGGACATCTCTCCCACTTACGGATGATCTCTCTTGTAGGAACATGCCTCCCCTGAACATCTGCATCTCACGACCCGAAGATTCTTCATCGGCCCGATTCCAGAAGGCTGGCTGAACAGCAACCGGAAATCATGGTACAGGAAACGCCTGAAACAAAGAGAGCACAAGTCTCGTACCGCATCATTCACCGCTGTCGCTGACAACGCGCACCGTCGTGCTCTTCCCAGTCTCGAAGGGCCATCGGCTGCCGCTAGATATGCCTTCAGCTTTCCACAACCAGCGGACGTCGCAGATGAGGGATTGCGGGGGAGCTCAGCAGCCGCATCTGACGAGGACGATTTTCTGCAGGATGAGGAGGAAGAAGAAGAAGATGGAGAAGAAACAAGTCCTCAGGAGATAGCACCAGTCTCGACAAACGAAATACCTCAGATTTTGGGGATAGCAGACGAAGATGATCCACGAGCCCCTAAAATGCTGTCAGTCCCTTCTGATATCGGCTTCACACCATTTGGCGCATCTGGCGGTGAGCGCGATGAGGCGTCCGGATTGATATCTGGCAAATCTCCAGCACAAGCCTCATTCGTCACTGCAAGGGAGAGAAACACCGGAGAGACTATGTCTACAACGAATGAAGAGAATGTGGACGCATCTCCGTTGTCACGAGGCGCGTCGAATTTGAGTCCGGAGAGCACTATGGACAATCGGCCGTCAATTTCTAATTTGGGCGGTTCACAGCCCGAGTCGAGCAACCTCAATGAGGCTTGTTCGACTGACCCTGATCAATCTGGCTCGACCACAGCATTGCTGCCAAGGAAGGACCGAGAGGAGAAGTTGACTCTTTCTGTTGCATCTCCACGATCTCTCCTGATGCGCAGCCCTGCTCCTGTTAATGACAGTGAGTTTGAACCCGCGAGCCAAGTGAGGACAGCTACTGGAGTGCGTTTCAACATAGCCGAGGGGATGGTGAATGGCCAAGAAAGGCTGAAAAACAAGATATCCAGTGTGCAGACAAGAGCTGCCTCGGCAAAGTTTCGAAGAAACACTCTCCAAGAAGGCGCCGTTGTGAAAATGGGGAAAATGCTCGTCAGAGTTGATGTCACGATGCAGCCAGTGTCGGAAGAGTACGACGAAAACGATAGCTTGAAAGTCGAGACCCGAGCCCACGAAAAGTGGAGGGAGTTTATGGTTGTGATACGCCAGAGCAGGAAGGATGAAGCAGACTTCAGGTTGCAAATGTATACCAGCCGTGTTATCCCAGAGGTCGAGAATGATAAAGTCAAGAAAAAGCCACATCACGAGGTTTTGCTGAACCCGAAGTCAACCAGAGTCAATCTCTTCTCGTCGTTGGATAAGACCGTAGTCATCTGGCATCCATATAAGAAAGGTACTCGAATTATAATCATGCGCACCAGGTCTACCGCACACTCTGTCGAATGGTACACGTTCCTGAAAGAGAATCTTGGTTGGGCAAGACCTTCGGCATTGCAGATAAATGTTCCCGACCTGAGTGTCAGTCTTCTCCTTGACAAGCCGTTTGAGGGTCTCGAGGCGGCGAGAAGATCATTTGAGAATGCCAATGACGAGGCTGCTTTAGCACGGACTATGGAGGAAGAGCAAGCAGTTGCTGACAAAATCGTCAAGAAATGTCTGGACATGCTGCAGAATGGTTCTGAATGGGCAGATGTTCTTGATGTGTGGTGCAAGACTGAAAAGATGGGCCTAGCATGGAAGCGATATGACAGGCTAGAGTGGATTCACGGGCCGAATCAGCAGAAAATGTATGGCTCCATGGCAATGCAGAAATCCCATGACCTCGAACTTCGACCTAAGAAGCATTACCCAACTCACAGCTACGGCAAAAAAGGAAAACTTCATCAAGAACCAGCTCCCGTGGAAGGGTTTCTGATCAGATTGACAACGCAAAGAGGCATGCAGCAAAGGATGGGCAGGACGTATTTCAAGAGACTATACTTCTCGACCCATAACCAGTATCTAATCTTCAACAAACCTTCCAAGATCACACCACCTCATCCCCCGCGATTGCCAACCATTGCTGGGGCCAATGTCCCAAGCGCCAGCGAGATCATCAAGCAAACGCCTACTATGTACGATATCGAACCTTTTCCAACCGATAAAGGGGAAATATCGTGGCTTAAAGTTGGCACTCCGGCCTCCGTCCAGGACTATGACCGGAAAGCCGCGGAAGAATGGCAACGCACTCTGGACAACCTGAGTCAGTGCGATGGGTACGTTAATCTTTGTCGAGTGGTCAAGGTTCGAAAGATGCAATGGGGAACGACACCTGGAGATGAAGATATGGAAAGTGGCTCAGATGTCGATTTCCACCAAGAAGTACCAGATACGACTCGAGATGATGGTACGACAAAGACTCTGGATGATCATCGGACGTTTGAGCTTCTGATGAACAACGGCCTCGTTATTCGGCTACAAGCATACGATGAAGCGACAATGGGGGAATGGATCCGAAGACTGCGCTTACTTGTCAAGTATTGGAAGCTTCGAGTTGCCGCTGATTCTGCGCTGTTCAAGATTGTTCGAAAGTGCAACCTCGAAAACTTGAACATTGATGAGGAGATGGAAGCAGTTATTGGCCAATTCGCACGGAAATGGGAAGTGTCCCGTTCTGAGGCATCACCACAACTCTACAATATGTGCGGCATATCTTCGTGTCGGTCAATCCTCATTTCTGGTCAGCTGTATTACAGAGCACGGCGGCGCGCATCGTTTTATCGATGTGGGGTGCTCCTGGCCAATGGCGCTTTGCATATCTTCCAAGGCTCAATTCGAAAGAGGACAGGGGAGGAGTTGCCACACATTCATCAGGAAAAACAATCGTCTATTCCCCTCCAAGACTGCTACATCTACAGTGGCCTCATCACGGAAGATGACCTGCTCTATTCGAACAGAACTTTTGACAGCAACAACCCTGGCAGACACGCCTTACCTAGAATATATCTAGAAGATGGCTGGACGTCAATCGATGAGGATACCATGACTTGCTTTGTTATCTGGCGTGGATTGAGGAAGTCGTTCTTCCGAGCTCGTGAAGAAATGGAAGGTGGCGGGACACGACAGAAGTTGAGGCAGGTATCGAGACTTGGAGTGCCTGGTCGAAGTATCGTCTTTAAATGCCGAAGCAGGGCCGAGAGAGATCACTGGGTCATGAGCATAGGTATGGAGATTGATCGCTTACAGCAAGGAGAAGATGTTAGGCTAGAAGGCCAGAACTGACGCCCAACGTCAAAACGGCCTGGTTGGAAGTTGTGACATCGTGATTATTGCTAATAGCGAGGCGTTGGTGGTGTCGACCAATTGTCTATTGGAAGCGCCGACATTGAGAAACGAGCCAAGTGACAGAAGTCTCGAACACGCGTTGTCCGTCCAATTTCATTATCAGAGATTCTCGTCGTCATTTGATACCGTCTTATTCCCATAATAAGCACAGGGCCACCCCCGGGCGGAGTTGTTCTCTTCCACTGGCGCGTACAAGTACCTGGGGCCCGAGACCGTTTCAACTCGCTGTTACGATCTCTGTCATGCCATATTTGATTAGGACCTAGTGTGCCCTGCCCAAGATATGGTTTTGCCTTTCGTGGGGCGAAATCTGCAAAGCGCATTAAACTGGCATGAAAAACGGCCTGAGCGGTTCAAGCGATGGCCATGGGGAGATTAAATCAGGTCTTTTCCACCAATCAGCCAGCCAGGCTGTGAGAAAATTGTAGATAGTTGAAGTTCAATTACTAGATTGGATGATATCCCGTCAGCGCCCCAAACATCCTACAACTTCAGCGTGTCACAGCGACCTGGCTCGGATATGCCCGATTGCCTCTTTAGGAAACACCCTGAAAGGGCGGCGAGGCGGGACTCGGAATAAAAACGTCAAGCCTTCTTGCTTCCCTTTGACATACAAAATTATTAACAATTCTGAATCATTTCATCCTTACCGTCTCTACATAGCTCGCTACATGAAACAGGCTCTTTCCATTATTTATTCAGCTGATGATCACACAATATGCTCACGTCAAACAGTGACTGGACGAGTAGTCCAGTTCCCCAGGCGTCTCCCTTGATCATTTCCACCTACCTTCTCTGACCTGCAAGGAGCATGGACTCCCTCGAAAATTCATGTCTATTCCGTCGCTACGGCCCTACATTTTCTCTGAACAGAATACGCCGGCTCGCTACGTGCTCGAAGCATCTCACTGCCTGCATTGCGACTTCCGGCGATTATGCGTCTGCAATATTGCAGCTAGGGATCCGAAGAACAGTGAAGCTGGGTTATATTCGCCCGCCGAAATTTGCTTCCACTAGCCTCTTCTGTGATCCGGCCCTCGCATGTCGAAGTCTACGTCGTTGAAGCTATCGAGGTGTGGCTTGTCCCAGTGGGACCGAGATGAAGAATATGTTCTATCACTTCCGGAGAGAGGATGGATTGTTCAAGAAGAGCAGGCAGATGCCGCCAAGAACGCTGTATTATTGTTCCCAAATGCTTTGCTATGAATGCCATGAATGCATAGCTTTGGAAGGCGATCCGACAACATGCCAGCCCATAGCGGAAAGATCGTAGTCACGGACATAATCTAATGAAGGAACAGGTTAGTGACCTCTTTGTAGGGACAAACATGCTGACTGCTTTGGCTGGCCAAACTGCTTGGAGCGATATTTGCGACGATAACAAAGGTGACATTTGCCACAGGTCGATGGACAGCTTTCTCTCGTTTGGCCTTCATGAAACAAAAGACATCCGGACTCTCACTGGCTGCCGGAATGTGGAGAGAACGGTTCTCTACTTAACCTTGCATGGGAATCAGAGGCAGCGAATTAACCTCTCAGACTCCAACGTGGGCCTGGATTCCGACCAGTTCAGTGACACAGGGGATAATACATATTATCTTTTTTCACATTCTGCATATCAGATCACTTCTCTACCTCATTTTTACGTAAATGTAGAAGAAAATCATTCATATTATCTGTGTGAGGACCACCAGGTCTAAAGGGCAGTGGGATCTAGTGAGTAAACGCGCATAGGTTGTGCAGGGGGTTCGCAGGATCTCTTGAAGAATAGAAAATGGCAGCTACAGTACTAGTGCAAAAGTATCCGGCCAACTTCAAAATTTGTGTGGAACCACACCAAAAAGACGACTTTTTGAAATAGTTATAGCAACTCTGGCTAGGCGTCAACTACTAGATTTTAAATTTAATATAAATTTAGAATTGATCAAATATTTATTCGTAAATACAAAATTTTCTTATAAAATATCTAGATATTCAATAGAACAAGTTTCAAGTCAAACTTTCCAAAAAGAAGAAAAAATTGTATGGAGTCCCATACAAATTTTGTTAGAATTTTGGATTACTCTACTTCTTAATTCTTCTTTTCAAAATCTACGAGTTTTGAGACAAAAATTTCTATTAATAAAGGATTAATCTACTAATTTTCAATAATTCACAACTTTTTAAATATGTAGTTGTCGCCTAGCTAAAGTTTTTATTCATTGTTAAAAAGTGCACCTTTTGGTGTGTTTGTGGGTTTGGTCGGATACTTTTGCACAGTGACTGTACATTTGATACCGGGGAATAAAGAACTGACCGTTAGCCTGCTATAGTGAGGGTCAGGCCACACGTTTATTTATGAACCCCCGTATTGATTATTATTAGGTGTGGCTAGCTAAGGTATGTGCTTGGAGCGTTGCCAAGCTCTAGGCACCCCGGGTTGGTCTATAACACACTAACTAGTAGTTACGTGGGTTCTCTAGGTGCTCTGGTCTGTGGCTCTGGGCTCTCCGAAGCGTTGGCCTCCAGCAAGCCCTGACGACTGGGAGGCCTAAAGTAGCTTCCGGTTTCATAGTACGTAGTATCCTTCTCATTGGTGCGGCTTAGCATACTTAACCAGAGATCTCTTTAGCATTTCTGAGACCAGAATGAGACCAGGATCGAGTGATGAGCTGCGATGAAGTACAGGTCGTAAGTTTGGGTGGGGAAAAGAGTGAAGGCTCTCTACAAAATGATTGCTGCGGAATTGAGAAAAGCTATCCGAACCGCTCTGCCCTTGTCCCCGCTCCACAAAGTTGTTTACCATGACAAACCTATGACGTCAGGCGTTCTCATTACCGTGTTTCATATGTATTTGAGCAGGCACGAAAAGGAAGATGGTCAGGGAGAACCACTATTTGACTTCCTGCGCGGACGAGCACTGAGGCTTTTTACATGACGTTCTGAACAATATCGTTCTCCTGAGATACTGTGCAGTAATCCTCCATCGCCAACCTCGAGAACAGTGGGTGTGCGGCCGATAACATCATGGACGAGAAATCCGCCTACCCTCGCTATCCCAAGGTCTCCTTAGGCCAAGCCATTGCGATCGGGCTTGGGGCTGGCGCTGTCGGTGCGACCATGTGTGTGCCCACTGCTCCCTCCTCTCCAAAACTCGTGACCGGGCAAAGTTGACAAGATTACTCTTTGGTGTAGAATGACGCTGTCCAACAAACTCGAACAAGCTGTCACCTACCGGCCGAACTCCTACGTGCCTGGCCACACGACCGGTGCCCTCCTCAACATTCCCCGTGACCGCCATCCCGACGTCCTCAACCAAGTCCATCACTACGGCATGGGGATCGTGACGGGACCCATCCGCGCCTTGATGGCCTACTATGGCGTCATCGGTCCCTTTGCATCGTTCCTCTTCACGGGACTGAGGATTGCGGCGGATCAGGTGGTGGAGAATGCGGCAGGGACATCGGCGCTACCGTGGACGTGGCCCATCAACGAGCAGGTTATCGATCTGCTCCATAAGGGTGTCTTTGCGCTTATGACGGGGTACATCTGTGATAGGGCGGTGAGGGGTGTGGACTGGTTTAATAGATAATCACTTGTGGTCGAGATATGAAAGCGGAAACGGGTGGGGAGAGTGTTAGTGAGAAGGAGAACAGTGGATGCTAGTCTAACATACTTCAATTATTGTCTATCATCCTCACCGATTTGTGCCTGACCAGTCATGAAATCCGATCCAGAACCGAACATCTATAATAACGAGACCAGAAAATCGAGGAAACTGCCATAGGCCTTGGAGTCCTGGCTCTCATAGTTGCGAACGCTAGTCATGCGCAGTTGTTTACCGGCGGGTATGCAAGGTAAGGTGACAATGACAATCACTTGAGTTTTGATGATCAATGAACGAAGCCAGGAGGGTCTACAACTGTTCGAATATCTGCACTGTTGTGACTCAGGTGCCTCTTTGTGAAAGAGCGTAGGGGTGACAGTACGACTAACGTAGACTTTGAGTGTCAGTAACACAATGATCTCTTCAAGTACAGCTTCTTACTGCCATGAGACTATGAATACCAGCCCATCTGGCTCTGATACACAAGAAAACAGTACCTCATGCTGGGCATGCGGCGATGGTTGAGGGAAAAATAGCCTTCGATCAGGAGGTGGATCGTGCCAGCTTATGAAAGAGTCAGAGTCAGCCGGTAGATAGCCGGTAACTCGCTGAGATTGCTCTGTGCACGCCTCATCTGGCTATATGAGGTAGGGAACGTGGCCTTCAGGGACTCGAAATGGTGTCTCAAGATAAAATTGCGCCATGTCGATGAGGGAGAAGCGGTCGGAGGGACGCACATAGCATAAACCACATCACCAGCCCCCTCTTCTACCCCGCCCAGTTCGAAGTTCGGTTTCTTCGTTGTCTATACCTTTATGATTGTTCGTGCTGTGCCGATGATTGCGAGACAGCCCGCGAGGAAAGCAGACAGGAGCTGAGCGGTGTTGTATTCGTTTGGGGTAATAGTTTCGTAGAACGGTCGAAAGAGGGTGATAAGGGTGAGGAGGGATTGCATGCGAGAGAGATTGGGAAGGGGATGAGGATGGGGTTGGGGTTGGGTACGGGGAGGGGCTGGTGGAGTTGGACGCCATTGCTGGGTGCGAGGGGGGGATGGTAAATCGCGGAGCCAGATGAAAGGTAGATGATATTGCTATGGTCCGTGAAAGTAGTTTGAGAAAGACAGGGAAATACTTGCGTTGATGATTATTGACACTTCGACGAGATGCCAAGTTTCGCTCCCTGACTGACCTCGCATGTCAACGGAAGGACCGTATCCGAATGAGGGGGGCTATACAGACGCGATGCGGTTACTGGTCGCAGTCACAACACCTACCGTAGCGAGGCAGCGATCACTCTGCTTGATTGTCATTCGCGAGTTTGAGATAGGGAAAGCATATCACAGAGTCGCCGATATTGATCACTATATCTGACGGAAAGAAGCAAAGACCTCAGCCAGCAGCGAGTCTCAGGCCCCTTCGGCCCAACAGATAGAATGTCATTTGCCTCTTTGGGAAGCAGCTTGATCCACGTAAAAGGCGCGAAGATCTCAGAACCTCCGAGAGAGTGATATACGGCCTGACTTTTCTCAGATAAGGCGGCCAAGGCGACCTTCTTGCTGGCCTGGCCAAGGGATCCACCTATGAGGATTCAAGTCTCTTTAGGATCAGGATTGCATGGGGCCTCGTATCACCACTCAGTCCACTGCAGCTGTTAGAGTGATTTGACCGCCTCCCGGAACGTGTAGAAAGCAGAAGTTGTTCGATCTGTTCAGGACTCGAGAGCGTAGGAATAGGTACAAAATAGGCCATCCGTTGCAACGAAATTAGCTCCGGGATTACCATAAAATAAAACCAACGCCAGGCGAGCAACAGGGATTGACCGTCGGAAGACTGGCCAATTAGACTGGCCGATTAGACACCCTTCACAACTTGACAATTGAACAGGCTTGCACTACAAATGAAAGAGACTTGTTTTGGAATTGGTTGCATGTTCCAGTATGACAATGCAGGAAGTGCCGTCATGCCCAGCGGATCTCATCCGTACTGCAGTGCGGGCATCATAAGCGACGGTCTTCAAGGTGGTAGGAAATCCTTGCCAAGACCTATTAATACTACTACTACTACTAGTAGGTTAGTACTAGTATGGTAGTATCTGGCGAAAGTAATGTCCGTGGGGGGCCCAGACAAACTCATCTGTACCGTTCCAAAACCTGTTACTCTAACGTGATGTGACCACTGAATAACACTGAATAACCACTAAAAGCAATGTGCAAGTGGTGAGGGACCTATCTATCACTACTACTGATTATTAGACACTTACAGATCAAAAAGTCACAAGATCTATGGAAAAGACGTCATGTGCAGACATGTCAAAAAGACAGCATGACTAGCATAAACGAAAGTTTCCAGTGCCCCACCACATCACTTTCGCTGGATAGTAGCTCCGATCTGGATTGCGACAGTGACAATGACCAATACGTGGACCAACAACGAGTACAGGAAAGCCAATAGCCTCCTGGTTAGTGGTAGGTGTGCCAGCACAACTATGTCTGTTCCGGCTATCGCATTGAAGATCTTGCGTTGGTGGGATGCACTCCGGGGGTACGGAGTCCGAGATCTGGAGTTTCGATGATCCCGAAGTTCTGGGCGGCATGCCTTGAAGTCCCTTCTGCATGCTACACATCTACCATTCCCATTCAATGTAGACTGCCAGCCCAGCTAGCGAGATATCAAGCGTCAAAAGCCAGCTGGTCATGGTAGATCCCTTTCCTCCCCGGCCATAAACCCGTCAACAACGACGACGACGACGACGAAACCAGAATACCAAAACCCCAAAAGCCAGACAACAGCACAGGCCCCAAGAGAATCATGTTCAGGCGACGCAAAATCGATGGAGCAGAGGAAGCGATCCCACTTCTGGAGCTGAACAGGGAAGAAGTCTCGGTTTGCGAGGACCCCGTTGTTCCCCAATCACGACGAGCTAGGTCGGCGAGACAACTACGGTCATTGTTGAAGAAGAAGGCAATAAATGCATGCTGGATACGGTCATTCTTTTACAGTTTTCTGATGAACATGTGCGTTGGTGGAGTGCTGAGCCGGTAGTTTCGATGGCATCTCCGGAGTTGGACACGGCATATGGGTTTCTGCTACTGTACGATGGATCTGCAAGCATGAGTGTGTGGTGCTCGGGCTGTGAGCTGTTGCTGGACTTGGGCCTACCTCCATAACGGCAGTTTGCTATGGTTCTGTTCTGGTTGGTTGGATCGAGGGAAGAAGTGGGAGGGGTTCTCTTTCAGACTGTCATTGAGGGAAGGCATCATCGTTATATCATCACTCAGCTTTGTCGATCTTCGGTGGTTCGTCTCGTTACGTCCTGGGTATCCGCCGAGCGTACCTTGTCTGTGAGGTCCAATCTGCATCGCCTGTGCTCCGTAGAAGGACTGGATACGAGTTGGGAAAAAATGCAAGGACAGAAGCTTGGGACCCAAGTTGAGACAATTTCCTTAGAGTTCGCAGTCTTGAGGAGGTCTTTCAACAGTGACACAATGAGAGAGAGGCGCAACTATATCCTGTATTAACGGCAATGGTGATTGCAACTTGGTTGAGCCTTGACCTGGTTCACAGCTCTCACTGGGACTTACTCCGCATATCTCGGGGGCATACGGAGTAAATGCCAGAGAGGTGATAAGCTAGCCCAGAGACATGGACTCTTACGCGACCATCACAATGATATACTGTGCCGAGGTTACTGAAAGAGATTTAAAATACTGGAGTTATCATAACTGCATCAATGATTATTAGCAGGTTTGAAACATAAAAAAGGAGATTTTGTTGGAATGGGGCAATGGCAGAGCATAGTGCCAAGACCCTTGTCACGTGACTCCACACTCTCTAGTACTAACTAGTAGTAGATTAGCCTGATCCTCCATCTTCGATAGATTCTGCCGAGTAGATAGAATTCAGTCCAATCCACCTCATCAGATTTCAAGTAGCTATCTGCACTCTGTTTAACCAAACTTTTTTACGTAGTAGGTCTTCCGCTCTAACCTTACCAGCCTCTCCGCCATACACCACCAATCGAGCTACCGTGGTCCGGCTCAAGTCCATCACCTCGGCCGAATTCAACATGGCGAGGTTCACCAAGCCTGCACACCATCCTTCGTAATGACCTTACCAACGTCACCATCCCTTTCACCCTCCAAAACACTCCTGATGAAAGGGCCCGCCACCGCCGGATCACCAGCTCCCATTTTCTTTGAGGCCTCCGGATTCCCACCAAGGCCCGTAGCCGAGAAACCTGGAGCAAGACACCATACTTTCACACCGTCTTCCTTCAGCGTGCGGTGCCATTCACGCATCATCATGTTCATGCCGCTTTTGGCACTGCGGTATGCCGCAATACTGAAACCGCGTTTCGGCCACCCTTTAGGAGGAGAGCGGTCAATGGGTAGAGCAAGGTTCTCGGTTCCAGCGAGAGTGGACGCGTTGGACGTGATGAACAGCAGGCGCGGGTCAGGAGTCTGGAGCAGGAGAGGTATGAAGCTTGAGGTCATTACTTGCGCCCCCACGGTGTTGATATTCCATGACTGGTTCCAAATGTCGCGCTCCGTCAGCTTACCAGCGGCAAACTGCGCTTCGAGCTGCGCGCCTGCGGTTCTTGTCAGAGAACACTGTCGTCGTTGCTGATGCATTATACACATACCAGCATTGTTTACCAAAGCATCAAGCTTTCCGAACTTAGACTGCACCTCGTTGAACGCGTGTTTGATAGAGTCATCCTGCTCAATGTCGACCTGAATTGGAAAAAGCTTACTGCGAGAGGAGGGGAACTCCTTAACAGCGGAGCTGATGGCATCCTCAGCCTTGGACAGCGATCGCCCACCAACGATGATGTCGTAAGCTTGATCAGAGCTGCAGAGTGACCTCACAATCTGAAAACCAATGCCAGTGTTGGCACCCGTGATCAAGACGACTCTTGGAGCCATTGTTGCGAGCGGTTGAGGTCGATCTACACAAGACTCGAGGAGAGCTTACGATTTCTGTCTTGAAGGATTCGGAGTTCGTATAGCCCTTGACATCGGAAACCCAAACACCCCACTCGGCCCGCCCACGTGATTTTATCCCACCAGTGACCGTCGCCATCCGGCCCTCAGGCTTTCGAATCTGTGGGTCTTTGCAAACCAGGGCCGGCCATTGTACCCCGACTCGAGTCGCTGCTGTACGTAGTCGGGCATCAAAAGTCTTCAATATACACTAACTAGGAAGAAGAACGGCTAGCTGTTCTTGTGGTAGCTTTGTGCTACTCTCTGGGGACGATTGCGGGCCGGCTGAAGGGGCCGAATGCCTAATACGCCCAACAGCCTAGACGAAGCCTCTATAGACAATCCAGGATATCAGGGTCTGTCAAGAGGCACTTAGAGGGGCCCTCTCTACGGAGTCATGCACCAGAAGTAGTCAAACTACGCTAATACTAATAAGGTAAGAGCTAGAAGGTAAGTGTAAGCTACACCCTCTAGCCTAAAATATATAGCGGATAATGTATAAGCGTGCTGAGATGGGCCTCCACACTAGGGGCACTATGGTATAAGTGGGCAATCACTTAAAGGGAAGCCTAAAGAACACTGATCAAGGGGCTTCTCTAGGCTTTCTTTAGATCAAAGTATCTGTACAACTAAGCATTCTCTTACGCTAATGAGCAATCGCTATCCTTGGTAGAGTCTTAATGTCAGCGTAGTTTTGACTACTTTTGGTGCACGACTCCGTATTGTGCGTGGATAACTACGTACACAGTGCTAAGCTCAGCTAGAGAGTGCTAGTGGGCGCTCTAGTCATAGCGCATATTGTTAACTTTTGATGCACGACTCTGTATCCTTTCGTGCTCGACAATGGGTTTCAAGAACTGATCCCGGAGTGAACTATAGGACTGTGACCCTCTGCATGGAGTCGATAACGATGGCGATCTTACTTCAGGTTAACACTCACTTCCTGTCTCATCGCACTGGTTCGCGATCACAGATCTCACTGCCTACGGAGCATACAGAATCGTGACAGATCCTCTCCGCAGAGTCTCCAGCCTATAGCTCGCTCGCTCGCTCGCTTCACACGCCTTTGGGACCTCCAACACCCCTGACGATATGCCTCCATTTCCGAAGCAAAGCGGCGAAATAGGTATGGCAATCATGGTAGTGTTACTCGGGAAACAGGCTCGTACTTGACGGTGAACACGTTAAAATCAGACAAAAGAAACGGTCACAGAATGCACAAGAGAACTTCTTTTCGAGACCGCTGATCATTATGTGGCTATAATGCCGCGGACAGGATGTGTTCCGTTCTTTCACTCAGCCGTTCTCTCTTCCAGAAGCGGCACGGTTCGCAGTTCTCTCAGCAACGACTGGCCCAGTGTCGAGTGTCCTCTCTCTACCTCCCGTCCCAGCTTATCAATTTGGGTGGATCATTGGCTCGTAGATTATCGTCAAGACAACAGTATATTCCTATGAGCGAACCAAGTCTTTTCTATTGTATGAGCTGAGCACCGGCAATATCCTTAGGAGGGGTGATATCTATAATACAGCGGTATGTATGTCCTCTTGCGCCGCAACATCAAACGACATCATAGGGCTTGCGGCCAGGAGTTCGGAAAGAAGCCTCGAGTTGGGTGATTCATCCATAACAGCATTCGGCCCACTTAAACGCACTCGCTTCCTGCCCGACGGTGACATTATACTCTGCGGCTGCTCGAAATGTGGAGAAAAGAATTCCAGTTCCATTGGAGTAAGTAAGCCAGGTGAAGGGCATGTACTGACCGAGGTGGTCGCTGCGGTAGAGTTATTCTTGGAGGAGAAGCCCTCCAATGGCATGGGAGGTGCTGGGTAAGACGATGCAGTCGACAGGTCTGTGAAGTCGGAAAGTCCTTGTTGGCCAGCAAAGAAGTTTTGAGTGCTGGGTGGAGTATGAGCGGTGCTTGCCTGATGTAGCATGGTTGGTAATGGTTGAAGTTGTTGGTCATTTTTAACGAGGTTTACCACTTGCAAAAGTCTTCCGAAAGCGTGTCCAACTTTGCGCGTGTGGTTGTTCGCTTGACTTCCCCCTTCAAGTTCTCTGTAGCATGCGCATACTTTCTGCAATAGATTCATGTCTTCGTCTGCTTGTGATTCATCGTCTGTTGATATTGGCTGTATAAGATTCCTTGCTAGTAAGAAAAATCCGTGTGCCGAGAAAGTATCTGGCAGACGGTGTGAACGTAACGATATAGGTTGATTTGCATTTTCCTCTGTGCTGCCAGAGCAAGCGTCGTTGCTGGAGGTCTTGTCTTTGCTCGATCGACGACTGGTAGATTTGTTGAGACCTTTCAGCGATGGGCTTTTCGAGATTGAGAGACCGTCAGGTCGCTGAAACATAGACTGATCACACTTACCGTAGGAGATGAGCAGCAAAAAACAACTGGTTCTTGCGTCATTCAATACCCGGCGTACATGAACGGGCTCAAGACTGCCATGCAGGACACTGATGCGGGCCGCTAAAAACTCGAGTTGCAAGTCGACATTGCGAGGGTTAGTATTAACTGAGGTGAAAATATCATGGGTATCGGCCCAACGCTCAAGACTTTGCTCGATGCGTAACAGTAAAGTCTTATGCCTAATCGAGCATCGCCTTTGTGATTCCGCTGGATGAAATAATCGGTAGATTTCCTCTTGCAACTTGGCAAGTTGTACCCGAGAGGCGAGTTTTGGATCAGCAATGGCACTCTGGTCGAGCTGAGAGGAGAGACTGCAATCGGAACCTGGAAGCCAGCAGAAAGATCCTCGCGAAATCGTGAAGCTCTTATCTCGAAGGTATAATGATTTGAAGACTTTGAAGCGCTCTTGCTGTTCCTCTGGACTAGCGTTATCTGATGCCATCGGCGTTTGATGGAGACCTAGGGTTCTGGCTAGTACACAAGCTTGCGCAAAAATCGAGTCCGCAAAACCTGGCGGATAGTACTGTTGAGCAGCGAGACTCTTGCAGAAACAGTTAGTAATCATGGCAGCGTAGTATGCAATTTAAATGATCATTCAGAAGCACTCACCAAAAGTGCCAAAGCCTGCACATTGATCAACTTTGGCGCCATCAGGACGCGAGGATTGTTTAGAGCTGTGCGAACTGTTGAGAGGAATGGTAGGACGAACTGTGATTCGACTATTGGATCACTGTTTTGAATTTGCACTTCTGACCCAAGGACCAGCAGGATAATTGTGTTGAAGCAGATCGCCCAAGCTTTGTCGGCCGGCGTAAAGGGTTGGCTATAGATTCGTTCCACGTTAGACCAGAAGGATGATTGCACAAATATATCTGTCGCGTAGTCTGCTTGCTGAAAGCATTGATTTTGTATCATGAAGAGGAACTGCTTGGGTGGAAGTCGGATGGGGGTGTGATTCGGTTGAAGATCAAAAGACTCTTCAATACCGGCTTCGAGACACATACGGACGAGCACGTCCTTGACTGCTTCATTCTTTGCGAAGTCTTCCTGTTTATTGGATTTTGGTAACTGGTCCTTGCCCGGAGCCGGGCCGGGTGTCCACTGCTCCGACAAGATGGTATCGCTGAAGGCGTTACAAAGAGCTAACAAAGTGCAAGGACCATGATGACGATCTATAGGATCATTATGACGGCACGCCCCCTGATCATGCGTCGGCAACGAACAGGATGTCACGTCGGCAAGAGAGTCCTTGATTGATAAAGTGGCTGACGACTCTTCGGTTGTTGAGTTATCCATGAACGGCCTTTGATGAACACCGGCCTTGAGTAATGTCATCAAGCGTGAGAGCTCGCCCTCGATGTTACTCAGGCGATCCTCAAGACCGCCAATGTTGTTGCATCTGCGAAGGTCAGTGTGTTAGGCCGATAATATGTTTGACCAAGCAATGTGCAATGAAGTGGCTCGAGGAGTGAGATCCAACTTACAATAGCTTGATATGATTGACCCTCTTGCCAGGGGTTGAGTATTCGCACTCCACTCCATCACGCCTGCAATGTGCACATTGTGGTCTCTCACGCCCGCACCGAATTTTTCTTTCGCGGCAATGAGTACAAGCTATGTCATGAGTAGACCATGACTGCGTCTATTTCAGGGAGTGTCAGCTAGGGCGATGTGGTGAAACATGTGAAAATATGCTGACGCATGCGAGGGTCGAGGTAGAATGCTTCATTGTTTGGATGGGCATACCGGTTTCTCTGATGGCGCCATAGTGTCGGAAGGGAAGCGCGTGGACCAAGTGCTGGAGCGACAATATAGTCATTCAAACGTAACCGTGTCAGACGTTAGTCTTTTCCACTTCAAGGCAATCAAGGCAATCAGAAGAGTCAAGTTGATCGTATAAGAAAAGACTGTTTGCGTATTGTCTTATCATGGAACAAGCGTGAGGTCGATCAATGGTTTGGAAAATCGGCTGGTCCTGTCAAGTCCTTTATCGAAACTCAAAGCAGGGCAGTCCATACGCAACTTCTCCAGAGTACATTGCATCTAGTAAGCATGAGCCTCGACCTTACCATCCCAGAAATCCTAGATGCCGGACTGATTGCAAACCAACATCGTACTCCTCCTGAAACGGTGTTTCGCTCTGTAATACGTGGTAAATCCGACATTGTGGAGCAGTATCAGCTCAATGCATCAATTGGGGTGTGTATGACTAGGAATCTACGTACTAGTAGTAAAATACAAAGTTTGGATGGAATAACTCCGCAGGCGCCAAGGCCCCATGACGTGGCCATGGTACTACTAGTACTAACTACTATGCGAGGTTGTACACGGGGGGGTACTTTACCCGCAGCCGGACCCTGATAGCGCACGCCACTAATACCACTAGTAATAACAGTACAATAAGTCTTCCTGAGTGCTCATGATTGATCATAATAATTTGTACTACAGTTGCATACAAATTGTTGAGATTAATCCTGGTAAAGTAAGAATCTTAATTATTTAATATACATTCTCTCAAAAATGATTGCACATGATTGTTCATGATTACTTCCAATAATTTGTACTATAGTTGCATACAAATTGTTGAGATTAATCCTAATAAAGTAGGAATCTTAATTATTTAATACACATTCTGTCAAAAATGATTGCTCATGATTGCTCATGATTGCTCATGATTACTCACAATAATTTATACTACATTTACATACAAATTGTTGTGATTAATCATGATCAATCAGGAAGACTTATTGTATAATTAGAATACCAAGCTAATACAGAGTTAATTCCCACTAATGCACACTAATAAGGGTCCGGCTGCGGGTAAAGTACACCTCCGTGTGGTACCTCCTAGCCATGGCCCAATGGGTGGAGCCCTTACCAGGGCCCACTTGTAGAGGGTTGCCCCCCTACAAGCCCGCGCGCAGCGCGTGGCTGCCACCGTAACGCTCATACCACCGTAACGCTTAACTTTCGCTCATGCTACATTAATGCTTATAACTCTATGAATTCTTGATGGATTAAGCTGAAATTTTAAGTATAGATACTTGAAATTATATTAAATATAATAGAGGTCTAAAAATCTTTATATTCTAAGTATTAAAGTAGTAAAAGCTTATTTTCAAGAAGCTTAATTTATAGAAATACAGAACTAATAAAGATATAACAAAAATAAAAAAAGTATGAATTTATTGTATAATAAAAAATTTTGGAAAAATAATAAGATATTATTAATTTATTTAAAAATAAAGTTATTAAATTGCTGGAGGTCTTGTC